GGGGGGGGGGGGGGGTGGGTTTAGGGTTTAGGGTTTAGGGTTTAGGGTTTGGCTACAGTGGTTCTTGGGCTGCTTGGCGGGGTGAGGCCGTGGCCCCAGGGTCCATGCACCCACGCAGTACGTATGGGTTATTTGCTTGCATTCATTGGGGGAGATTGGGCTTCAACAAGAACGATCTGGTAACCCTAAACCCTCAACCCTAAACCCATGGTGACTTTCAAGGACCAGACGGCTTATGCCGACCTTCATACACGCGCCAAACCTTGATTCCGTTCAACCTATGTGTGAACGAGACCCCTCACCTGGCGACCAGCAGCTCATGAAACCAGCAAACGCCGGTGCTCATACAGTACCTTTACGACCCAAGTATATATTAAACCCACAGCTTAAAGCCTACGCCCCAAAACCGACTCAAACGCAGAGGTAATTACACTCACCCTTCGCGTAGCAGGGGGCTTTGTGGAGCCTTGACTTCGCCCAAACCTCCAATTGTAGCTCTTTTGTTTTGAGGGGCGGGGGGGGGGGGGGGGGGGGGGGGGGGGGGGGGGCTCATTTCTCGTCTCCTTCAAAATCCAGTAACCTAATTCTTAGGTCCCTGCTAGCAGAGGGAAAGCTGGGTAGGGCCTGATCTACAGAGCTTCTGCATGCGGACAGGAACCATGCCAGGATAGGTTCTCACGCCTGACATTGTGTAATCCCCATGCTTTATAAGGGATGATAGGGCAAGAGCTACTAAACATGGAGTTGTACCCTCACCCCTAAACCCTAAATCTCAATATTTAGTAGGCAGGTGTGACAGATTGCAGCACGGACAAAAGACCTTGTTAGAGAACAGGTTTAGGGTTTTGGGTTTAGAGTGTAGTGTTTAGGGAAAATTCCCTGCATGGAAGCTTTAGAGTGTAGGATTTAGGGCACATTCCCTACAACATAGGATTTTAAGACGGATTGAAGGAATATCCTTGGCCCTGCAAGGGGTTCCGACATTATAGCTTCAGGGCGCTTCATGCATGGACCACTATACCCAAGCCCCATACCGTAAATCCCCCAAACCCTAAACCCTAAACCCTACACAACGCTAGAAAACCCAAACTAACCCTAAACCCTAAACCCTAAACCCTAAACCCTAAACCCTAAAACCCTAAACCCTAAACCCTAAACCCTAAACCCTAAACCCTAAACCCTAAACCCTAAACCCTAAACCCTAAACCCTAAACCCTAAACCCTAAACCCTAAACCCTAAACCCTAAACCCCAACCCCGTAAGAACCCTCTATAGGCCCCAAGCCGGATTGGAGTCTCTGGAAGGCGCCGCGAGTCCCTCGACGTCGCGGTGGTCACGGCCGCCCTGTCGGCGGCACAGCGCGGGGGAGCTTGGCAGGCAGCTGAAACGGGTTTAGGGTTTTGGGGTTTAGGGGTTTAGGGGTTTAGGGGTTTAGGGGTTTAGGGTTTAGGGTTGAGGGTTGAGGGTTTAGGGGTCGGTTTAGGGTTTAGGGCTTTAGGGGTTGAGGGTTTAGGGGTTTAGGGTTTAGGGTGATGCACCAAATACCCCAAGAAAGTAGGAATACGGTAACCGGTAGTGTCGTGGGCCCGAAACCCGAGGCTTGTCCAGGTTTGATGCTTTCGGGGGGGGGGGGGGGGGTATTATGGTTCAGGGTTTAGTGTTTTGGGTTTTGGCTTTAGCGTTTAGGGTTTAGGGTTTAGGGTTTATGGCTTGGTGGGCTGCTTCGGGGTACAAGGCTGCAGGACGATTAGCGACTGGCGTCCGGCCTAGGCCATACCTGCAACCCCAAGTACCTACAGCTTACTAGGAATTGCCCCCTTTCATTAAATAGGTATAAGGGTATAACCCATTAAACTGCAGATAATTGGGGTTACAGGTAGGCAGACGTGATGCTGAGATTGTTCCGTCGGAGGATGGCACATTTTTAGTGTGTCAAGACGCCCTACACCCTGAGCCTTTACCTCTTGCTGCTGCTGAACGCGTGCTTCGAGGTGGCTCTTTCCCTGCTCGAGTCCATGGATAACTGGAGCATAAGCGCTGCACCCAGTGCGGATGTTTTTGAAACTTGCTTGTCGATCGGGATGCAGTAGTATTCCTGTGGTTACGTGGCCATTGCTAGAGGGTGTAGAACCAAAGTACTCAACAAGGATCCCAAACCGGGTTCCCTGGAGTAACTTATATACCCAAACCTGGTTCCCTGGAGTAACTTATATACCCATACAGACGGGAGATGTACCACAATTACTGGTATATGTCCGCGGGTTGAGTGTATTTAGGTTGCTCTTGCTACAACCCAATAGCCCTGAACCCTAAACCCTAAACCCACCCTAAACCCTAAATCCTACATCCTAAACCCTAAACCCTTAACCCTAAACCCTGAACCCTACAAGGCCCGGATGTCATCGCCTGCAATGCAGCCTTAACGGCCTGCGCCGCATGCAGCTGGAGATTGGCGCCGCGGCGGCACGGACTTCTTGAAGTCAATCTGCCTAGAGCAACCTGTAGCTTTAATAGTAATATCAGTATTAGTCGTAGTATTGAAAAAGTTAAGATTCATATTAGTACTCCTATCATTACTATGAGAGATAAGACAAGGAAGAGACCCAGGTTTTGCCAGTCCAAGTTTTTGGAGCTATACCAGTTACTCAGTCTAGCTACACCCTTGTGAGTTTCATACAGCATGCAGGCACAGCCAAGTGCCTTTGTCTTGCACTTTATGCCATTATGCACAGCGCATGACATGGGGGTGCGGGGGGGGGGGGGGTTGTTTTAGGTGGCCACTGGCAAGACAATCCTCTGCCTTGCACTGCAAGTGTGTCATCTCTTGGTTTAGGTTGACGCGTAAGCGCGTTGAAAGCTGGGCTTTGCCCCGACAGTGTTGCAAGATAGATTCAGAGCGTTCAGCAGGCAGCAACATGGGCAGACGGGCGAGTGAGTTGGGGGAGTTCCATCCTGCGCCTGCCTGGAGTGCACTCTAAGACGATATCCAGTCCAAGCACAGCCGTACTGTGAGTGGCTACCGTGGTTTCTGTGAGTGTGGAAGGCCGGTTTTCGAAAAGTTCGCTGTGTGGGTCATGCGAACTTGGTGGGCGAAGCATGAAAAACTATGACTTGACCCGAGAAGATCTCTCAGGAACCCTCCCTCCTCCCCCCCCCCTCCCCCGTGCGCGTGCGACCCTCGCGCGTGTGATGTCTCCTAAACTGGATGAAGCCCCTCGTCCTCCCAGGATTCCGTAACCCGATTTGCATGCACTCACCCGCGCGTTCCCAAACCCGATATGGGGGTTTCCGAAATTACGGGGTCCTGATTATAAGGGAATCCTACTAATTCAGGGCCTCTTGTTGTCGTAAACCCGATTTGAATTTTCTTCCCTCCTAGCCACAGAGGCGCAGAACCCCTTTCAAAGCACAAAGTTCTTAACTACTATTTGTACCCCCTCAAAACTATAAAGGGTAGTATAGGGAGTGTTTTTTATTTTTGGGCAGGTTCTTAAACAAGTTGTACATAAGGGTTATAAAAGCCGGTGGTCTCTTTTCCTGTTGCCCTTATACCTTCATAATAGCCCCTAGATACCCTAATAAGAACCCCCTGCAAAACAGAAACCCTACTTAAAGAGACCACCAACCAATATAGGATAAAGGTCTTTGGCCAGTTAAGATTGTTTCCTACCCCCAAGAAGACCCACAGCTGATGAGGCCCGACAAGGGGCTTCCAAAAAGGGTGCCCAAGAGGCAAAGCCCTAAAACCCTGAAGCCTAAAACCCTCAAACCCGCAAGGCCCCGAAGGGCGCAGAAGAGACCCAAAGATCCGTTTTAATCGTATACAAACACCCCCCCCCATCATTCCATAATACATTTGTATTTGGGTGTATTCAATATTAGGGGAAAGGGGGGTTTACTCTTGGGGGGAAGGGTTCACGGTTGCCCCTTCCAAGCAATTTGAGAGACCCCTCCCCTGGAATTCCCCAATCTAGTTGAACATCTCTTCCAGGATTCCCAAACCCGATTTGCGTTTTTCCAAATCGAGGTTTACGATAATAAGGGACCCGAATATAGACCCCCGAAATAGTAGGATCCCCTTATAATAAGGACCCCAATACAGTACCCCTAATATCGTAAACCGCCACATCGATCTTTAAGCACCAACCTCCCCGCCCCCCCGCCTGCCTCCTTTGCCCTCTGAAATCTTTCTCTTTCGCACCATCAACCAGCCTTTGACTACCAACCTCTTTCCTTTTTTGAAAATCAACATACAAGCAATGTACCGTATTCCAGGCCTTCAAAGACCCAAAGGCCCAATAGTTCAGGTCGACCCCGCCCACGTGTCTGCTTCTCAGGTGTTGCAGCTACTGGGTTCTTTCCCGTCGAGAAGGTTGACACCAGACGTTCCCTGGCCTCTCACAGGTTTTGTGCCACCCTTGTTTCCTCTGAAACCTCTACCTAGCGTAACCCATATACGCTGAAACATATGTAAGTAGGCCTTTAAAGAAAGTAACATGTGCGTCACTTGTTTCAGGATTAGTTTCCTCTATAGGTGCGGTTTAACCCCAAGCCCCAAACCCTGGACCCGAAACCCTAAACTCTAAAGGTACACCTTGGGATGTTCCCCCTTACACTAACAGTCCTTAAAGAGGATTATAGTCCCCCTCTCGCAATCCCGAATAAGCACTTTACGAAAAGGGGGAACGTCCCAAGGTGCACCCCCTAAACCCTAAACCCTAAACCCTAAACCCTAAACCCTAAACCCTAAACCCTAAACCCTAAACCCTAAACCCTAAACCCATTTTAAGGGCTTCAAAGAGACGACGGAGGTGGTGTCTTTCTCCGTTGCCGCCAGCGCCTGCCGCAGCACGCAGTGGCAGGAGGCCCAGCCGGTCATGTCCGGTTTAGGGTTTAGAGTTTAGGGTCTAGGGTCTAGGGTCTAGGGTCCAGGGTCCAGGGTCCAGGGTCGAAGGTCATGTCCGGTTTGGGGGTTTCTGGGTCTTTGTTGGTTATCACTTTACATTTCTGTCATACTTGATTCCCAAGAAGGAAACGAAACGATAAATATTGCCCCAACAAGGAAGCAGGCTTGTGGGGGGGGGGGGGGGGCGACGCTTTAAAGCTAGATGGGCTCGTAAACCCCACGTTGCTTAACCCTAGCTCGAAGGCCTTCAAGGTTGCATGTGCCAGGGTTTGGGGTTAAGGGTTTCGAGTTTAGGGTTTCGGGTTTAGGGTTTAAGGCTTACTTGTAGGGCTTACATGCCATCCACGACCTTCAAATGACTCACAATGATGGGCTGGTCCTCTCGCGGTGTTGGCCACGACACCCTCAGGAAACACAGAGCCCTCAATTTGGTAGTTTGGGCAGGCCGCAGCATGAGGCCACCGGTAGGGTTTAGGGTTTAGGGTTTAGGGTTTAGGGTTCAGGGTTCAGGGTTTAGGGTTTACGCAGCCAGTGGTGGCTCGCTACACTTGCTGCAACTTGGATGGCCCTAAATCGCAAACCCTATACACCCTGAGCCCCACAAAGAGCCCTAAACCCAAACCCCATAAACCTCAAGCCCTAAGAGAAACCTGAAACCCGGCAAGCCCAAAGCCCCAAAAAGAGCCCAAAACCCTCTTCCACTGTAAGCTTACCACCCCACCCCCCCTAAACCCTAAACCCGAAACCCGAAACCCGAAACCCGAAACCCGAAGCCCGAAACCCGAAACCCGAAACCTACCACCCCACCCCCCTAGACCCTAAACCCGAAACCCTAAGCCCTAAACCCGCAAAACCCCCAAAACCCCAGAGGCTTTGAGCTGCTTGCAGGGCGCTGTGGATGGGGCTCTGGTGGGCGGCTCAGCCCCAATCGGCCTCAGGTCCTGCCTGGTCTAAGGTCTAAAGGTCCGATGTACCTGTGCAGGGTTTGGGGTTTAGGGTTTAGGGTTTAGGGTTTAGGGTTTAGGGTTCAGCATCTCAAGTTCGAGCATTTACTAGGCCAGCAGTGTGTTCAGGCAACGGAAAAAAACCCACCCGCCCAAAGAATCCCATAACATTAAGAAAATAAAAGGTTTTCTTCCTACTCCAAAGAGTTTTACCTACCCGAGTCAGACACGTTTTCAACAACATTAGGAAAAATATCCAACCTCCTTCTTCTCTAGGCACGTGGTCAACAGAATGGATTTGTTAACCACATGTTTCTGTTTCGAGCGGACAAGAAAACCAAACGTGGTCAACAGAATGGATCTGTTTATCAGATTTGGAAGCCATCTTGAGTTTCTTGAATCGATTGAGGGGCTTCAGGGGCCTCAAAAACAGGCGCGGTCATTCGGGAACTTATTCTTTGGAAGCCATCTTGAGTCTCTTGACTCTTTTGAGGGGCTTCAGGGGCCTCAAAAACAGGCGCGGTCATTCAGAAACTTATTCTTTGAAAGCCATCTTTGATCCACTTCATTGTCGAGGGGGTGGTGGGGTGGGGGGGGAGGGGGGTGGGTGGGTGTGGTGGGGGGTGGGGGCGGGGGTTGTGGGGTTGGGGGTGGGGGGGGGGCGGGGGGGGGAGGTGGGGGGGGGGGGGGGGGGGGGGGGGGGGGGGGGGGGGGGGGGGGGGGGGGGGGGGGGGGGGGGGGGGGGGGGGGGGGGGGGGGGGGGGGGGGGGGGGGGGGGGGGGGGGGGGCGGGGGGGGGGGGGGGGGGGGTGGGGGGGCGGGGGGGGGGGGGGGGGGGGGGGGGGGGGGGGGGGGGGGGGGGGGGGGGGGGGGGGGGGGGGGGGGGGAGGGTGGGGGGGGGGGGGGGGGGGGGGGGGGGGGGGGGGGGGGGGGGGGGGGGGGGGGGGGGGGGGGGGGGGGGCGGATGGAGCGGGGTGGGGTTGATGGGGGGGGGACCGGGGGGGGTGGGGGGGGGGGGACCGCTAATATATTAGGACCTTGCCCGCTAAATATAGTGCCCGCTAAATATATGACCTTGCCCGCTAAATATATGACCTTGCCCGCTAAATATAGGACCTTGCCCGCTAAATATAGACCTTGCCCGCTAAATATAGGACCTTGCCCGCTAAATATATGACCTTGCCCGCTAAATATATGACCTTGCCCGCTAAATATATGACCTGGCCCGGGCCATATATTTAGCGGGCAAGGTCATATATTTAGCGGGCAAGGTCATATATTTAGCGGGCAAGGTCATATATTTAGCGGGCAAGGTCATATATTTAGTGGGCAAGGTCGCCCTTTAGCGGGCAAGGTCATATATTTAGTGGGCAAGGTCATTTTTTAGCCAATGGACCTTGCCCACTAAATATATGACCTTGCCCGCTAAATATATGACCTTGCCCGCTAAATATATGACCTTGCCCGCTAAATATAGGACCTTGCCCGCTAAATATAGGACCTTGCCCGCAAAGTCATTAACATTTATATTATATATGAAAGAGTGGTTTAGGGTTTAGGGTTTAGGGTTTAGGGTTTAGGGTTTAGGGCTTAGGGTTTAGGGTTTAGGGTTTAAAGCTACTACATGGGAACACCCCGTGGCCCAACCATATACTTTACAGGCACATGCACCCTTAGGGCTAAGGGTTTCCTTCTGGTTCCCTAAACCCGAAACAAGGCCGGGAACCCCAAATGGTTTCAAGGACCAAAGAAGCCAAGAGGATCCTCAGTGGAGTACAGTACCTCATTTTTAAAACCTTCTTATTAAGGGCCAGGTAGCCCTAAACCCCAAACCCGAAACCCGAAACCCTAAACCCGAAACCCTAAACCCTAAACCCTAAACCCTAAACCCTAAACCCCCTAAACCCTCTGAACTGGTAGGCTCCCGATGCAACTTTATGGAGCGCTACCATCACCGCCTGTGGTGATGCTGGGGAGTGGCAGAGGCAAGAAGTGGGGCAAAGGGGGGTCTTCGGATGTCGAGCTAAGAGCTATAGCACCCATTTTTTTCGTTTCTATCTTGATTAAATCCCAAGGGAATAATAAGCACTTTTTTTCTGAAGGTTCTGAGGGGAGTATAGAGAGGTGGGTTTGACTTGCCCTTTTCAGCCTTCAGCCCTAAACCCCTCAACCAGTCAGATTTTTGGCTTCAGGGTGTAGGCGCTGCATTGGGGTGGGGGTCCTACAAGAAGTTTTCGAGAGGTCACCCAGAAGCCTTGCATATGGCGAACCATGATAGTCAGCCCTTGGGCGGCTTCCTGGCCTATCGCTGCCGACAGCCTATCGAACTCAACCCTAAGCCCCAAACCCCTACACCCCTAAACCCGAAACCCTAAACTTCAAACCTGTAACCCTGAACCCTAAGCCCTAAAGCCGAAACCCCAAGCCCTACACGTCAGTGAGGGCGCCCGTCGCTTTCGCCAGGGCTTTGGAGCTTTTCGCCTCCTCCCGGCGCGTGGCCGATGCCGGGCTTTTTGCAGCCGCGGTTCGCGCCTGTCAGGCGAGAGGTTTAGGGTTTAGGGTTTAGGGTTTAGGGTTTAGGGTTTAGGGTTTAGAATTTAGGGTTTAGGGTTTAGGGTTTAGGGTTTAGGGTTTTAGGGTTTTAGGGTTTAGGGTGTTTAGTGTTTAGGGTTTAGGGTTTGGAGGTTTTCATGGGCAGTGCTGATGGCTTGCTGTCCCCATTTTCTTTTGGGTTGCCATGCTGTTTTCTTTAGGTGCTGAGACTGGCAGTCTGTGCTTCATAGCAGTGCGGCAGTTCGTCCCCACGCAAGTAAGAATGGCGACTTTACCTCGCAGGTGGTAGTTCCCCAAATCTAGAGTGCACCCTAACCCCCAAGAATGTAGTAGAATTCTAAGGGTAGTTGCATGCGCCCTGAAAAATGGCCCCTTACCTCCTTAAAGGGTTCTGAAGTAATTATGGGCCCTTGGGGTTCATTTGGTTTAAAAGCCATATGTAAGGAGTCCCCTTTTGACAGCCCATACCATGAAGCATGTAACTACCCTTCGAAGAATCCCCTCCCAAAAGGGGACCCAAAACCCCAACCTACACCCTAAGCCCTAAACCCTGAACCCTAAACCCTGAGCCTTAAACCCTAAACCCTAAACCCTAAACCCTAAACCCTAAACCCCAAGACCTTACATCTTCGGAAATCCGCCAGGTTGGAGTTCAATGGCAGCTGGCGTTGCTGGTGCTGCGCGAGATGCGTCTGGCAGGCGTCTTATACCATCTCAAGATTTCTTAAAAGGACCAGAGTCCAGAGGATTTCCTAATGGGGTTTAGGGTTAAGGCGTTAATGGCCCGAGGGATTAGCGTCTCATTCTAGGATTGCATGTAGACCTTAAGCCCCAAATCCTAGACCCTAAACCCTAAACCTTAAAACCCTAAGACCCTAAACCCTAGTCAGTAGAAGTCCCAGGAACTGCCGTGCTGGTCTGAGTCTCTGGGAACTGCACCGGACTCTCAACCAAAAAACACAACAGCGGGTACCCCCTGATGGCATGCCCTCCCCCTAAGACCCTAAACCACAAAACCCTAAACCTAAATACCCCTCTTATCCCTTGAAGCAGGTGCTTCTGGGCCCAAGCTGGAGAAGGGGACCAAAGACGTCCGCGAGCTCCGGCAGAAGTCTTCCAACCAACGCCCGAATCCCTGAATCATGCAACGGCCACGAAGAAAAAGTTGCCTCTTCATGCCCAGCCATGGGCCCCTGTAAGAAAGACTGAACACCCGCCCAAGAACCACGAACCCTCCCAGAGTGTCTTTTCTCTCTTGCAACTTCCCCTACTAAACCCTAAGCCCCTTGAGCTCACCCGCAACCCTCAACCCTAAACCCCACTGTAAACCAGGGTTTAGGGTTTAGGGTTTAGGGTTAGGGTTTAGGGTTTAGGGTTTCTGGCCCTGAACCCTCAACCCCTTGAGCTCGAGTTGCACAATTTCCTTGCCAATCCCCAAGCCCCCTTCACAGCCATCGAGGTTGAACCAGACCATTGTTCTAAGATGCGAACACAGAAGAAACCTAATCCCTACTTGAAGGTTCATGGGTGCTTATAAGTGGGGTTATAAGTTCCCTACATCAGGCTATACTCATAGTTACCGTACTTTAATCACCCTAGTTAGAAGTACCCAGGAACCTCCATGAAGGCACTTGAACTGAGACAGCATACTTTGGGCCACAACATAGGCCCTGCATCCCCTAAAGCTTGAAAGCCTCAACACCACATCCCAAACCCGAAACTAAACCCATCCCTTCTTATAAGGCCCCTTTACTATTGAGGTCCTTTTTGTGTGAGGTTTCTGCTGACAATGTAGGAGATGGAATTTCTCCGATTCCAGCTAGAGGAAATAGAGGTTTTGATAAGAATATGTAGATGAAATAGAGGAGGACGCGATGCGAGCATCGGGTTGTCAGATGGGGAGCAGGGAGGGGGGAGAGGCGGGTTGCTTTATAAAGAAGGTCATGCTATGAAACGGACTTGCGTTCAAAGACATGTCGTACATACGAATTGTTCCTGACCCATCACGCGAGCGTGTTTGCAAACGGAGGGGGGGGGGGGGGGGGGGGGGGGGGGCACAAGCTTGTGGTTTGAAGAAGACCAGAGGACTTCACACAGAAACGAGATAGAAGCATTACAGAAAGGTTTCCTGGGAAAGGACAGGGCAACAGAGTGTTTTTATGTTGACAATACGTACACAAGAAACAGAGGTTTTCAGAGGAAAACCTAGAGGAACTAGAGGTTCCCTAGTAAAAAGAACCTTGGACAAAAAAATGTACGGATCAAACCCAAGAGCACAAAACAAAACAAACTGTTTAAGCCTCAACTCTAAACCCTAAACCCTAAACCCTAAACCCTAAACCCTAAACCCTAAACCCTAAACCCTAAACCCTACTTGAGCCTCAAGCCTCCCCCTCAGGATGATCGGCTGGTGGCTTTCGGCGCTGCGCTGAGTGCTGCGGAGCGGCGCAACTGGTGCCGTTGGCCCAAGTTTTGGGGGGCTCACCCCTGACCAAGCCTGACATCCCTGCAAACCATAAACCCTAACCCTAAACCCTAAACCTTAAACCTTAAACCCCCTAAACCCCAAACCCCAAACCCCAAACCCTCAGCCTTACACCCTGCAAGGCCCCCCAACATTCTAAGCCCTATGAACCCATTCAACTCAGGGATATTTGGAAGTGATGTTTAACTGTTGGTACTTTTTAATTCCTAAGAAGCAGCTAAAATTTGTAATTTTGGGTACTTGAATTTCTAATGATTTTTGCCAGGGTTCCAAGATCAGTATAGTCAAGCAACCCTAAACCCTAAACCCTAAACCCTACAACATTCCAAGCCCTATGAACCCTGCAAGCCCTCTGCGAAGCCCAAGGTTGTGGGCCCTGCACCTGGCCGAAGCTCTCGGCCAGGAGGCACCGGAGTGGTTTAGGGTTTAGGGTTTAGGGTTTAGGGTTTAGGGTTTACGGTTTAGGGTTTAGGGTTTAGGGTTTAGGGGGTTTTGGGTTTAGGGCTAAGAGTTGATTGGGGGATTTAACCCTTTCCCCCTCCCCCCCCCCCCCCCCCCCCCCAAAAAAAAAAACAAAAAAAAAACGAATATACCCCCGAAGAATCTCGTCAAACTTCGGGCTCAGGGTGCAGGTTTGCGGTTGAGGGGGCTTTAGGTCTGGGGTTGGTCAAAAGGGGCTTAGGTTGAGGGAAGGGGCGTGCAGAGTTTGTAGATCCAGGAACTCTCCTGAACCCTAAACTTAGTAGCTGAACGAGTACAACTTTACACTTTTTGGGATACAACCCTTTTTTGGGGGGCTTTTGATCTCAGCAACTACGTAAACCCTAAGCCCTAATTTAAATCTAACGAAGGATGTGGGGATTTGGATGTGTCCTTGCCCCCACGTGTTCCCTACCACTTTCAGTCTCAGATTCTTGTGGAGTGCGCTGTTTTGGGGGGGGGGGAACCCTATGAAGGCAAACCCTTGGGATATGTTCGATTTTCGTTTATTGGCCTTTAGGGGGATTTTTCAAGGGCCTCCTACATTGGTTGCCTTGTAGAACCCAACATGTATACGCGGAAGGCCAGACTCTTCAGAGGGATTATGGATTTATGAAGAGGGCGCTCGACAAAGGATCCTGGCAGAAGATGCTGTACATGCTCCATTGAGCCAGGGGAGCACCGTGTGCGTTTTGTGAGATTTTTGCGATCCTTTTGGCATGACATGAAGAAGATGCCCTGCCGCGCCAGGGCCTGTGCCAGAACGTGATCACGCGCAGCACGGCAGTCAGTGCTTGGGGTCGCGGCTATCGCTGGCAGGAGGTAGCCGGAGTCTGATCTTGAGGTTGCGAAAAAGTGCACTGTTCTGAGCCTTCTGAGGATTGACAGAGGTTTCGGTAGCTTGTACATTATATTATCTATCTATACATATATATATATATATTTATATTTATACTTATTTATTTATTGATTGATTTATTGATTGTTTTCTGTACGTGTGTTTATATAGATATCCTTGTCTTTTAGATTAGAATGTATAATGTACATTCTTTATATCCATAACTTAATGTGAGCGTATATGTGTGTGTGTGGGAATCTGTGAGAGTCCAGAGTTGTCTGCAGGCTCTGACGTTCCTGCACGGTGCTGGGCGCGAGTCGGTCCAGGCAGACAGCATTTGCTACCATGCCCCCCCCCCCCCCCCCCCAGCAGTCCAAACCCTAAACCCCAAGCCCAACTCAAGCCCGAAACCCGAAACCCTAAACCCGAAACCCTAACACCTAGTTTGCGTGCTGGCAGGTGAACCCTAGAGCCCGAAACCGCTCAGCGGAGGCGAACGTTTTCACCTACACTGCCGCCAGTTCAGCGGCCGAAAAGGCAGGGCCCAGGATGCTCAGAAGACGGAGCGCCAAGAGGGGACACACTTGAGCTCACAACCTGGGGTTTAGGGTTTGGGTTTAGGGTCTAGGGTTGAGTATCCCAACTTGTGCTTTTGGGACTTCAGGACAGTTTGGGTTCAAGAAGTTCAGGGCTTTCGGGTTTTGGGATGTTCCCCCTGAATAGGGGCTAGAGTACCCCCTATGAAAATCCCCATTAAGGGCTGTTAGTATTCGGCGGGAGCATCCCAATTTTAGGGTTTTTAAGGGTTCAGGCGGGATGCCCAGCTTCCAGTTTGTTGGCTTCGCGGCGTGGGCCCTCCCAGCGGTGTAACCCCGAAAGCCTCCTAGGTAGGCTTTTGGGATATGCTACATTTTCCCTTATTGGGTGTAAGAGGATCATAGTGAAGGATGAAAATCGGAGGGTTTAAGGCGCCAACCGCCTATAAGGGTAAGCTGCAGGTATCTTGCGAAATTAGGGGTACCTTATTGGGGCGGTCTATTTTAGGGGTCCTCCATTTTCGTAAACCCCCATTTTCTTCACATGGTACATGGAGCCAGGCACAGCGCTGGCGCATGGCACAGCAGCTGCTCTGCGTGGTGGGCGACGGGGCTGCAATGCTTAAGACCCTAAACCCTAAACCCTAAACCTTAAACCCTAAACCCTAAACCCTAAACCCTAAACCCACCTGTATTCCCCCAAAAACCCAGCGGACCTGCTGTGTTCTTTCCGTTTCGTAGGTCCCCGGGAAGCAGAAGGATGGCAAGTCAGACCTTGTTATAAGGATCCTAGGGTTTAGGGTTTAGGGTTTAGGGTTTAGGGTTTAGGGTTTAGGGTTTGGGGGTCGATTTAGGTGTCTCTTATTTTCCTAAACCACCAAATAGGCTTCAGGAGTGGTTTCAGACATGTAAGGGAGGAAGACCGGTTTCTGGGTTTTTTTGAAAGGCTCCGGTCGACATGCTTCCCCGTTATGCTAACAGTCCTGAATAGGGATGATTAGTACCCCCCCCCCCCCCATTATAATCCCTTTTATAAGGACTGCTAGTATAAGCGGAAAACATCCCAATATACCGGTCTTCATCTGCCCAGTTCGCACCCCTAGCATGGAGGCTTAGCAGCTTGGAACGGGGCTTGCACGAGGGTTGCACGGCAAGGCTGTCAAAACGTCGAGCCCAACGTGCAGGCGGCAGTGTCAAAATGATGCAGTTGATCATTAGTATAGGGTTTAGGGGCATTGAGAGGCTGTTAGCTGCATGTATGTAGGTCAGCTAGACGAAGCTGCACCCATCAGAAGGCTTCCAGCAGGAAAGCGGCAACTGAGGCCGAAACACAAAGAGCCCTACCTTAGGCCCCAAAGCCCCTAAAGCCTTTCAACCAATCATGCGGGCCGCAGCGGTGGCGTGGCCTAAACCCTAAACCCTAAACCCTAAACCCTAAACCCTAAACCCTAAACCCTAAACCCTAAACCCTATACCCTATACCCTATACCCTAAACCCTAAGCCCTAAGCCCTAAGCCCTAAGCCCTAAACCCTAAACCCTTGTCCAGGCCTTTAGCGCCCTGTGCAGCGCCTGGGCCGAAAACGGGTCCTGGCGCCAAGCTGCGGCGCTCGTGCAAGTGCCACAGCTCGACCGGGCGGAGGGGGAACATCATTATTATAAAGTACCAACGGACACAAATTGTAAAAACAAAAAAGGTTGTAGGTTTTTTGGTGTTTTTCGGGCTTTCGGGGCTTATGGTTGTAGGTTTTTTGGTTTTTTTTTTGGGGGATTTCGGGGTTTGGGGGTTGTAGGGTCTGGGGAATAAAGGGGTGTTGGGGGGGGGGGGGGGGGGGGGGGTATTCACTTGAGAAGTTTTGCCTGGAAGCTGAACCTGAATTCACAACCCTAAGCCCAAAACCGCCAAAACCCTATAACTCCCTAAACTTGCCCTAAACCCCAAACCCCAAACCCCAAGCCCTAAACCCTAAACCCTATAAATCCCTAAACTTTCCCTAAGCCCAGGCCATGCAGACAGCGGGGCCTCAGCCGAATCAATTCACCTACAACGGCCTGGCACGCGCCTGCCAGCGGGGGGACAGCTGGACGCACGCGCTGCCTCTCCGCAAGGAGATCAGGTTTTTAGTGGTTTAGGAGGGTTTAGGGTTCAGGGTTTAGGGTTTAGGGTTTAGGGTTTAGGGTTTAGGGTTTAGGGTTTAGGGTTTAGGGTTTAGGGCCATGATTTTCCATACTACTCTGATCCATGGACGAGAAACCTTGAACCCGAAACCCTAAATCCTAGGTCCCCAAAGGTTGGTGGAATATGGTAAAGCTTGTAAAGGCATGCTAAATGAGCCATTCGTTTACCGTTGCAGTAAATGTCACTGTCGTTGTACGGTACTTGGAGCAATCAGATGTCAGCCCCTGGCAATGAACAAGCGGTTTACATAACAAATCGCGGGAATGCCGGGAATATGAAGCACATTTGCTAGATCTCTACACGATGGGGTAGACAAGCCCTACCCAGGGTAACCTTTAGCGACATTGCCCAACATTTCAGGGCCACCCTAGACCGGAAACCCTCAGCCCTATATCCCTAAGGCTCCATGTACCCATATAGTAGATACCTAGGCCTTAAAGGGGTTCCTATAAGGGTACCTTAAGGCCTAGGTATCTACTATAAGGGTACATGGAGCCTTTGGGTATGGGATACTCTAGCTACACATCCCTACGCCCTCAACACGTTGTGGCAGCCTCAGGCTGCGACTTTTCGCCACGCTAGACGAGGACAGGGCGCACCGTTGCATGCTGTAAGCTCGTCGCAAAGGCTTATTGTGGGGTTAAGGGCTTAGGGGTTAGGAGTATTTAGGCTCATAATACCCTAAACCCTAAACCCTAAACCCTAAACCCTAAACCCTAAACCCTATATAGGGGTTGGTTTTGAAACGTTTAGGGTCTTGAGCTGTAAAGCTGCATGAGAAGCCGCACCGATTCCCTGCGAGGGAAGAGACGGAGTTCAGCCCGATCTCCTGACCCTCGACGCCTCCATCAAGGCTTTGTCTTAGGATTTAGGATGTAGGTTTAGGGTTTAGGGTTTAGGGTTTAGGGTTTAGGGCTCAGGGTTCAGGGTTCAGGGTTCAGAGATCTGGCATGCACCAACTAGGTGCTTAGAACGCTCAAGCAGTTTTTGCCTGCCAATGTTGCTCGCGACTCGTTACAAGCTGAGAACCCCCGAATTCCCTCCAACCCGGCCCAACCGCAAATGGGCATTAAGGTCTCAAGTGCACACACTTCGGCTGGCCAGGCCTTTGAGCGTGGAGGGCAGACGTGGCTCCTGCCACCTCTTACCCGCGCGCTCACGTCAGTGAAGGCCGCAGATGGCAACCAGGACGTCGGACATCCATATGGGGGGTTTACGAGCATATAAGGGACCCTGAATATTAACCCCCCCCCCCCCCCAAATAGTAGGGTTCCGAAAAAAAAGGACCCGAATAAGGTATCCCTAATTTCAGAAACCCCCATGATCTTGCCTGTGGATTGCATAAGGGCCTGGAGCAGGGATGCCCTCAAGCACATTACTACAACCCCAAACTGCGAGGCCCACAACAACAGGGCTTAGGGTTTAGGGATTAGGGTTTAGGCTTTAGGGTGTAGGGTACATCCAGGAATCTTTGGTTCTCGAGCTCTTGGGCCACGCCCTTTCGTCAACGCAGGCGAGGCGTCTCTCAGGAGGGCTCGGCATTGCGTGTTGGGATGCTTCACACTTCGGGCTGCCCTGCGTGTAGCCCCATTCTGCCCGTTTAAACCCTAAACCCTAAACCCTCAACCCTAAACCCTAAACCCTGCTCGTTTAAATGCGCTTCAAAGCTTAAGGAGCCCTCCTCAGTTCCAGGATGGGCTATTCTACCCTATAACCCCAACAAAAAGGCCCTTCAGAGGATTGATTATGGGGGTTATAAGGCCTAACCCTCAACCCTAAACCCGAAACCCTCAACCCTAAACCCTAATAGCCCATCCTGGTTCCGTAGGCCGCAGCCTTTGCCCGGAAGCGGGTGGCGCCAGTACTGCGGCGGCTCCGAGGCAGGGGGCTCTTCTTCCTGGAACCCTGCCTCTTATTTTTGGGTTAGATTTAGGAAAATAGGGTTTAGGGTTTAGGGTTTAAGGCTAGATCCCAGTACGATTGCCCTATTCCTGAGGACTCAATAAGGTACCCCTCATTTCGGAAACCTTCATTTGCTCTGCCTATGATTAAACCGTTAACTACTGATCTCTGGGACTGTTGCGTGTTTGGGGTAGTTCCGTGTCTACCCTGGCCCCATATTTCGTGAGGCGTAATGTCCACGCAAGCACGGCACAAAAGTCCGCATTGTACCGAGACTATACTTCCGGAAGCCAAGCAAATCAGCACCTTCTGACGCAAGTTGGCAACTTATTCATGAATTTCGAGTGCCCCAGTTTGCAATGCTGATGCAAGATGACCCTTAGATGTACAACTCTAACCCTAAGTCCCTAAACCCTATAACCCCAAACCCCCCAAATCAAACACCAATGCAATCCTCAGGTTGCGAAAGTAAGAGCTGTTCCTCTGAGCCCAAACCCTCAGGGCCCATGTCTGCCTAGATCGTATGTTATTGGGTTTAGGGTTTAGGGCTTAGGGGGCCCCTTTTAAGACCAAAACATGCAGGAAAAGTATTCTGGACCCTCAGAAAATACGGTGCAGATAGGTGACTTGGTGTCAGACTAGCAAGGGAACATCGTGCTGTGTACGATGAAGCGCTCGAAGCGCGGGTGTGTGTTAAGGTGTTCCGGATGAGAGAGAGCATCCTTGGGGGGGCCAGTTGAATCCCTAAAATGGGGATCGTGCACCCTAGACTACGATCATCCCTAGTTTATAAGGTATGGCGGACCATGAACCCTTCTAGTGTTCATTTTGGTCCCAAAGGTTCGTGTTGAAAGTTGAGTCTTACAGCTCGTGCTGTGCTGCGGCCGCAGGCTGTCTGGGGTCAGGGAGCCGGGACGACGTTCTTGCCGCCCAGTTCGGCCTGGGGGAGCTGTTCACATCCCATGTGCCTTGGGGCATCCTTGCAAATGATCGAGTCACATCAAATCACGGTCACAGTCTGATGAAGTGCGTCGTCTAGGTGCTGGAAGAAGCTTCCCTGTCAGCCCACACTGGGATGTCGGGACCGGATACTTGGATCCAACTTCAGTCGCAGGCACCATCATTGCAACACATCGGGAGTTAAAAGTTGGCTCCGAGTGTCCAGGCTTGGCTACCAGGCGCCCGGCATCCGGTGCGATCACGCGGTGAAAATTCTCCTTCCGAGCCCCGAGCCCAGGCCCTTTTGTCCTGTTGCCGGTTCGTTGCCGCATCGCCCCGAACCCAGCATTTCTGGGTATTTCCCCCAAATAAGGGTACGCTTACTAAATACCCCAAGCTCGTATAACCCTTATTTTAGGACCCCCCCCCCCCCCCCAAAAGGGGGCACCCTACTACCCCCCTAGTATAATCCTTATTTTAGGAACCCCCTACAGAGGGCACCCCTATTTTCGAAAATCCCTATACTACTTGCAGCCTGCCGTTCGGCAGGAACTGGCGGCGTCGATTGCGATGTGGTCAGAGAAGGCCCAGGCAGCCGCAGTGCCAGGATCACGGGTTTAGGGTTTAAGGTTTAGGGTTTAGGGTCTAGGGTCCAGCGTTCCCTTGCACACAACAAGTACTTCCTTTGGCTTGTTTGGATCACAGTTATGTGTCTGTCCAGCAAGTATCACCACCAAAATTCATCCCGCCGTGAGACGCTGTGGGGTCCTACCTGTAGGCTCGATGCCGTGCGTTTGGCCATGGTGGAAGCAGGCCGGGGCTGCAGAGAGAGAGAGAGAGAGACATGAGATTGTTCACACGCACGCGTGTGTGTGTGTGTGTGTGTGTGTGTGTGTGTGTGTGTGTGTGTGTGTGTGTGTGTGTGTGTGTGTGTGTGTGTGTGTGTGTGTGTGTACATATACATATATATATATATATATATTTTTTTTATACATGCACATACACACACACACTACATGTACATACACCTCTATTTCAAGATTAAACTGTCTGGGGTGTGTCTGTGTGTGTGTGTGCATCTGGGAAGGTGGATCTGCGTTGCATGTGGCCTTCTTCTCATATTGCGGCCTGCTCATTGTAATTTACTTTACGTGCTGCTGGCCTGAGGCGCTACGAAGACATGAAGCTGCTGACACAAGTGTATGCACCTTGATGAAAGATGGGGTTTATAGTCGTTTAAGGCAGCGCAAAGGCCTCTTTGCAAGGCATGAAGGGTGGCAGCGCCATGGCACCACGGCAAGGCATGACAAGTCAGTCTGGCACAGCGAGATCATCAATTTACCTACCACTTGGTAAATTGGTTCGATGAGGCCCTATGAACCCTAAACCCTAAACCCTGAGAGCCCTAAACCGAGTGAGGTTGAGCATGATCGGCTGTGGCACTCCGAGCGGCATGCGTTGCTGGCTTTGCTGAGCCAGCTTCTGATTAGCACCTTCGCCGCCAAGCGGTCAAAATCCACAGGCCTTGCCTTCGTGTTTTTGCGCAAGGGCGTGTGTGTGTGTGTGTGTGTGCCTGTGTGTCTGTCTGTCTGTCTGTCTGTCTGTCTGTCTGTCTGTCTGTCTGTCTGTCTGTGTGTACTTTGAATGACACTGAATGCCAGCGAGCTTGACTACAATATCTCTCCTTTTGTCACACTTGTGCATCGCGCTGGTTTTCTTGTCACACTTCGCCACTACTGGCGCTGACGGCTTCTGCCCTGATTCCAGTGCATGCCGAGCTTTTGAGCTTGAACCGAAGAACTACCATGAGAATGCATGAAAGAATGCATGAATGCCAGTAAGGGCTCTCCCACTTTGATATAGTTTCCTGAACACCCTCTCTAGCCAAACTTCGACCCCTTCACAGGCGCCGCAGGGATCAACCAAGCATGCGTCACCGCTCTCAGATCAGCACAACAAGCAAGAGACCGATAGCCCGGGAAAGATGGTCACTTGCAGCAGACCTACGCCGGCCGCTGCTGCCGCTTGTCCGTATCACCATTTCCTTTGGGGGCAAGTGAACCCTGAAGGGGTCTGTCTATGGTCCATATGCTTGAAGGGATGATGCGAGTTAAGCTTCTTTTCATGTGATAGATGCTGTGTTTTATCATATGTATTGTATAGCATAATATATATATATATATATTTATTTATTTATATCTTACATGATATAGCAGGGAATATACCAAATACCAAGGTATCTATCTGCATATATACATATATGTATATACATAGAATATAGTTGTGAAATGGGACGAGGCACATCAATGTGGTAATGGCCGACGACGAAGAAGATTATGCTGCAGCAGGCAACCGGGAGCTGTTCGAGAAGCTGTTGGAGAATTTGCAGAGGGTCTACGAGGGCCAACCTAGCTAAGCCCTGCAACGCTGGAACCGCCGGTTGCACTCGCAACTCCAGGCGCTTACTTCGAACTTCTCATGCAATGTTCAATAGCCCTAAACCCCAAACCCCAAACCCCAAGCCCTAAACCCTAAACCCTAAACCCTAAACCTAAACCCTTGTACAATGGGTACCTGCGCTACCTGGGAAGGCAGCTCCAAGCCGTGGGAGGATGCTGATCCCCGGCGTCGATCGTCGTAGGGTTCAGGGTTCAGGGTTCAGGGTTCAGGGTTTAGGGTTTAGTGTTTAGGGTCTTAGTGTTTAGGATTCCAGGCTAGGGTTCTAGGGTTCTAGGGTTCAGGGTTCAGAGTTTCGGGTTTGGGGTTTTAGGGTTTTAGGGTTCTAGGGTTCAGGGTTTCAGGCGCACAGGGTTTTCCTAGTATTGCTTAAGAACCCACCAAAATGCAAGATCAAAATCCCTTTAAGCCTAAGAAGGAAGCTGTTTTTGTTTGATTTTTGGGGGGGCTCTTAGGCAAATAGTAGTTTAGGGTTCAGGTGCATGAATCATGAAAGGAAATGAGTTCTTACCATCCTTGGTCTCTTGACTCATGTTGCCCAGCAACTGCATCCGCATGCCCCAGGAAGGCGACTTGCTCAGCCGCAAGCTGTATGACTATGCAGACGCAGACTACAGCGGGGACGTTAGCAGTGAGGAGGTCCTGGCAGCAGCTCGGCAGCATACTTGGAGGTTCATGGTACTTATTAACCAATTATAACTGTACTTATAACCCACTTGTAAGCCCCTTATGTGCCCAATATGGTTATAAGTATAGTCATAAGTACAGTTATAATTGGTTAATGAGTGCCATGAACCTCCAAGTACCCATTTCTACACACAGCTGCATACGTTTGAATTGCAGGGTATGGATGTCCACCGCATGGTATGGAGATGTATGGAGCTATTCTACACGCCGGGTAGGCCCTTGAGATATGTTGTATTTCCCTTATGGTGTCTAAAATCATCCATTCAGGGATAGTTTTGGAGTCTTTGAGGGACAACCTGGTACCCTGCGCCCTACTACCCTGAGCCCTACATGCTGTAAGATCCACTGCATGGGGGCCCGCAAGTGCAGTACCTTGGCATAAACACAACAACCCTGGACCCAGCACTACTTTGGGACGTTCAAAGTTATACTACGGAACAGTTCTTATTAAGGATTATCATAACCCCCCCTCTGATCATCCCTATTGAGGACTGTTGTGAGTATAAGGGGGAGCATCCCAAGGGCCCTACTGTTCCTTGAACTCCGATTATGCGCCCCAGCCCCTAGGACCTTAGGACGCGCGGGTTTAGGGTTTATGCTTTTAGGGTCGTAGCAGCCTAAACCCCAACACCCTAAACCCTAAACCCGATTAACCGGTTGACCCCTTCGAATCCCAGCTAGCGCCTTCAAATCCTGTAAGCGCTAGGTGCCCTAGAAACCCTATACATCCCCAGAAGCCCACACCCTAAACCCTGAACCCTAAACCCCGAACCCTAAACCCTAAACCCTAAACCCCAAACCCTAACCCCTAACCCCTAAACCCTAAACCCCAAACCCTAAACCCTAAACCCAACCTCTGAGGTTCTCAGCCGGCTCGCCGCGGAGCTGGGGCTCCCAGAGGAGGCGATTCAGAGCCTCAGCGTGGCGGCACCAGAGCTTCTCAGTTCAAGGGGACTTTAATGGGCACCCCAGACAGGGTTTAGGGTTCAGGGTTTATAGGGTTCAGGGTTTAGGGTTTGGAGTTTAGGGTTTAGGGTTTAGGGTTTAGGGTTTAGGGTTTAGGCGGAGGAAGGGGACTTTGTTGGGAACCCCAAACAGGGTTTAGCGTTTAGGGTTTGGGGTTTAGGGTTTCGGGTTCGTAGGAATACAGAAGGAATTTATACCTGCCAGATTCCTTTTTCCCCCTTCATGTTCCTACTATGTTCTTGGGGTTCCCTGTCTGGTTCCCATTTCGTCTACAGTAGGCCCTTGTTCCTTTTTTGGGGGGGCTAGGGTTTAGGGTTGAGGGTTTAGGGCTTAGGGCTTGGGGCTTAGGGCTTAGGGCTTAGGTTCCCTTCAACGCCCTCTTTGAACCAAAAGGGGCACCCTTTTTTTTCCTGGGCTGCTCTTGGGTCTAGTTGAAGCTGGGGGTGCAGGTCGGCTCAGGGTTTTGTTTTTCGGGTTTAGGGTTTCGGTTTTTTTTTTGGGGTTTCGGGTTTCGGGTCTAGGGACTTAAGATGAGATTCGAGCCTGGGGGGTTTTGCAGGGTTCAGGGTTCATCGTCTTTGGCAACCGTCAGCATGTACGGCTCGGACCGATCTGCCCAGGGCGTGCACCCGTACTTTCCGTGTTCGCGTTTTGCCCATGCCAGACGAGGGTCACAACCGACCAGTAAGCTGATCAAGCGGGGCTCTTTAGGGTTTAGGGTTTAGGGTCTAGGCTTTAGGGTTTTAGGGTTTTGCGTTTAGGGTTTGTTCGGGGCTTGCTGGGCTGCTGCTGGGCTTCTGCTGGGCTCTGCGGGGTGCGGCTGCTAGCTGCCAACCGTAGCTTGCGGCTCAGGCTTGAAGCAGAGGAGCAGCGTCGAAGATGGCATCCTGACAGCAAAGAAACCCACCCCCCTCCCCCCCTCCGGCCCCCCCGGCCCGGCCCCCCCAACCCCGCCCCCCGGCCCCCCCCCCGGCCCTTCCCTAAGAAAGCAAATACTCTACTCCATATTTGAGGCGCCCAACAAGCGTTAGAGTTCTACAAGGGTTCAGGCTTTATGGTTACAGGGATCCGAAACCCTAAACCTAAGCCCTAAACCCTAAACCTTAAACCCTAAACCCTAAACCCTAAACCCTAAACCCTAAATGGCATCCCGAGGTCGGACTCCCTCCAACAGCTCTGCGTGACTCGATTCCGGAAGCTTATTCCCTTGTGTGGCGAGGCTTAGGTTTTTGTTTAGGGTTTAGGGTTTAGGGTTTAGGGTTTAGGGTTTAGGGTTTAGGGTTTAGGGGTAGAGGCACCCTTTCAGCCAAAAAGGGGGCCCTTTGTAATTCTAGGTGTAGGTGTTATTCCTAGGCTCTTGGGTCGAGAATCTTTTCAACCCTACCAAGAGCCAACCTTTTGAAAAAGGGTTTTTGTTACTGCTGTTGGTGGGTTTCGGGTGGCTATTCGGCGCCCACAAGCCTTGCCAGCGAGATGCACCGACGTGTACTTCGGGCGCAAAGCTCCGGCACCTGATTTTGGGTTGAGGGTTTAGGGTTCGCGGCACGCTCGGCACATTATGTCATGTGGGGTTCATGTCATTGGCAAGTACTCATATGCTTCAAGTAGCCTCATGTGCGGCTGAAGTCCACGCATGACATTATTTCTATTGTGATGTTTTTTGTTAGACTGTTGATATTATTCTTGCTGTTTCCTTACTATTATTTCCATTATTATCGTTATTGTTATGAATGAATCAGATTCATAGTTTTCACAACTCACAATATTCGGAATCTTCAAAAGTATCATGAGAACATTTTAGGGAAAACAATATAAACAACTATAATATTAAACAAGAATAACCATAACTTAACAACATTGTGGTTATCATCTAATATAGGGTCTGAAAAAACTACTAATAGTATTCCCCTATGGTCCCTTGTTAAAATCTACTATAATAACCTCCCCAAAACCCTGTTCCAATTATCAAGGCCCCTATGGTATCCATTTGTGTCTGTTATCATTTGCTCGGGCCCCGCCGCATTGTACCCTCACGACGCATGCTGCAAGGCCGAGGCTGGCGCGACGAAGTTTAAGATCCTCAGCCGCAAGAGTTTGGGGTTCTTAGGTTTCTTCGCGGGGGGGGGGGGGGGGGGGGGAGTACGGTTTAGGGTATAGGGTTGGAGGATCAAACGGGCCTCATCGTCCAGCAAGGTCCACGAAGGAGCACCGTAGTAGATTCCTTAAGTGCATCCAAGCCTAGATGAGTCCCACATCAACCCTATGAACCCCATGAACCCTACAAAACTAGAAGCCCTAAACCCTAGCACCCCCCTAACCCCCTAAACCCTAAGCCCTTAACTACCCTAAACGACCCCAAACGACCCTAAGCTTCCCTAAACTACCCTAATCTACCCTAAACTACCCTCAACTACCCTAAACTCTAACCTACCCAAAACCCTAAACCCTAAACAGGGAGAAGGTGCGGGAGCTGCTCCATGGTCCTTTGCCCGGGGAGCCCCGCATCATCCTCGGGCCGGTCATCGGGAAGGTGACGGAGCGGCCCGGCTCGGATGGCCTGGGGTGTACTTGGAGGTTCTTAGGGTTTAGGGTTTAGGGTTCAGGGTTCAGGGTTTAGGGTTTAGGGGGTTCAGGGTTCAGGGTTTAGGGTTTAGGGTTTAGGGCTAGGGAGGGTGGTAAGCGATACACCGAAAGGCGACCCCTAAACCCGAGACGGTGTCCTTGTACTTGGAGGCGTATGGCTAGTTATATGATCGTAGTATAAGCACCCGAAGTATAAGCCTCTAATTGCAGTTGCCATACGTACCACCCTAATTCATCAACTACCCGTGAACCTCAACCCTGAACCCTAAACCCTAAACCCTCCACGTAGCACAATTTAATCCGGCAGGTCTTCCGCCCGAATTCTCGTGGAGGCGAGCCACGACGTGGACAATTTCAGCCACCTGCCTCTAAAGGCTTTGTGGGGTTTAGGGTTCAGGGTTTAGGGTTTAAGGTTTTAGGGTGTAGGGCTTAGGGTACGTTTGGGGGGGGCCCTTGGGGCTTCCTGAGGCTTGTAATCAGTTTAGTTGCAAGGTTATGAGCCTTCAAAAAACACTAGTACCGCAAGGTTATGAGCCTTCAAAAAACACTAGTACCGCTATGAAACTTTACGGTGTCTTATACTTAAAGGTTCATGATACTTAATAACCCAATTATGACCCTATTCGGATACTTAAAAAGGCTTAGGTCATAAGTACACTTATGATTGGGTCATAAGTGCCCTGAAACTCCAAGTAGGGGCTTCTATAGGGAGTAGTGGGGGGTTAATAGGGGATCATAGCACAATGGCTTCTGTAGGGCTTGGTTCGTACGATTCGCAGCCTTCAATGCTGTGCAGATGGAAGTAGGCCCTGAACCCTCAATCCTGAGCCCTAGAGACCCCGGAGACTCGAGAGAACATAGCCGGCGTCGCTACCCTAAACCCTAAACCCTAAACCCTAAACCCTAAACCCTAAACCCTAAACCCTAAACCCTAAAGCTGCAGCCGTTGCTTCCTGAGGTTGTGCATGCAACGCTGAGGGCTCCAGCAGCGACTGGGCTGAAAGTTTCAGGACGGTGTGTCAGAGCCTGCTTGGAGGTTTAGGGTTTAGGGTTTATGGTTTAGGGTTTAGGGTTTACGGTTTAGAGTGGCGCCCTCGGGGGTTGAAGGGTTTTTTGCCTCCCAGGCGCAGCCACGGCCAAGATGACGCTGAAGGCGAGGCGGCCCTCGGCAACTTGGCTTGTGGTTTAGGGTTTAGGGTTTAGGGTTTAGGGTTTAGGTTTAGGGTTTAGGGTTTAGGGTTTAGGGTTTAGGGTTTCATTAGGGTTTAGGGTTTGGGGTTTGGGCTAGGGTTTGCAGGTCCCCAACTCCCCGCCCCCCCCCCCCCCCCCCCTCCCGGGATCGGAGACACCGACACGCACCTTAGAAGCCTCAGAATCATGTTTTACAGAGCACTCGGAGGCAAGCCTCAACCATGGGTAGTCCAGGGATTGGGTTTGTTCAGTCCAGGATGTTCAGGGTTGAAGGGGTGGTTTTGGGGGGCTTCTTGTTGCCACCCGAAATCCCTCCCCCAAACCCCAAACCCTAAACCCTAAACCCGAAACCCGAAACCCTAAGACCATCCCAAGGCCCCAGCCTACTGAACCTATACCGTAATCCTACCAAACCCCCAACTGGCAGGAGTTGGGGTGTTTTGGGCCATGGGTCTAGGGTTGAGGGTTTAGGGTTTAGGGCTAGGATTTAGGGCTTGGGGTTTGGGGTTTACGTTTAGGGTTTAGGGCTAGGATTTAGGGCTTGGGTTTTGGGGGTTTGAGTTTAGGGTCATCCCTGGCCTGCAGAAAGCCTTTGGAATCGTGGTGCGGAAAGAGATCGGCCTTGATCACCCAAGGTTGTGAAGCTGGATGGACTGGCAGCTTTTCTGCGTTTAGGGTTTAGGGGGGTTTAGGGGGTTTAGGGGGTTTAGGGGGTTTAGGGGGTTTAGGGGGTTTAGGGGGTTTAGGGGGTTTAGGGGGTTTAGGGGGTTTAGGGGGTTTAGGGGGTTTAGGGTTAGGGTTAGGTTAGATTAGGCTTAGGGTTTGGGGTGTAGCCTTTCCTGCACCCGACAACCCAACCCTTGCACCCTCAAACCATCCTAATCCTTGACTTTGCCGGTTGTTGAAACTTTCAGCAACAGTCCAGGACATGCCGCGGCTTGCTTAGCCTTACCACCTGTGGTCATGAGCTTTCTTATGTTGGGGCTTCAGGGTTTGGGGCCGTGGCCTGCGCTGACCTAAAGTTTGTTTTGTCGGACATGCCACTTTGGCTCAGGGAGCTCAAGACAAGTCTACTGGTCACTGCTCTCTTCCTCTTCGCGCCACATCGGCACGTTAAACAACACAACTACTTAACTTCCAACATCCCTGCAGGCAAGGAATTTGCGAGCTCACTCTGGGGTTGGGGCACTTCATTGGATCCTCTGGGCATCTCTGTGGGTGGGCACTCCAAAGACTCTCTTGGGATGTCGGGCTCGGGCACTCCAGGGACTCTCGGGGGATACTCTGAGGTTGACTCAAGTGTCGTGATTTTTGACCGCGCCACGCTATCACGCGTCACGACTCATCGAGCGAAAACCCCAGTGCATTGAACAACCAAGTGACGTACTTATTATTTGTCGAGGTCTTGCCGTGTCTCCCGGGTGCGTAATCTGTATTTGGGCTTGTGGTCCTTATCGAAGTTATTATATGTATATGTATATGTACATGTACATGTACATGTATATGTATATGTATGTGTATATGTATATGTATACACATATACATATATATATATATATATGTGTGTGTATACATGTATACATACACACATACATACATACATACTTACATACATACATACATACATAATAACAATAGTAATAAGAAGAATAAGACTCATAATAATAAGCATAAGAATCGCAATAATGATGAATGTCTATATATATATATATATATATATATCAGTACAGATTTTTTATATACAATATGCTTTTGCATGTTTAACATAATATGATCTAATATTGTTTAAGATAGCACAATACAATATAATATAATATCACATCATATAATATACTATCATACAGTATCATACAGTATCATAAAGCACAGTATAGTATACTATACAATAATCTACTATAATGTAAGAAATATGTGTGTTATATATATATATATATATATATATAGATATGTACACATATGCAAATATCCGGCCTCAGGCCCCCTCGACGCTCTACAGCGTGGAGGTGCAGGGCGCCAAGCTGCTGGTCGACCGCTGCAGCTTCCGCACGCTGCCGGCGGGGGGTTGGAGGCCGCTGTGGGGCTTCGAGGGCTCCCGAAGTGGAGGTTTAGGGTTAGTTCTAGGGGGGTTTAGGGGTTAACTATAGGGGTTTAGGGTTAGTTATGTATAGGGTTTAGAGGGTTTACAGGGCTTGTAGGGTTTATAGGGTTTATAGGGCTTGGGGTTTATAGGGTTTTGGGGATGTAGGGGTTTCGGGTGCAAGGTTTTTTGGGGGGTTGAGGGGTTTAGGGTTAAGGGTTTGGGGGTTTAGTACCGGTGGAGGGGTTGAGAGCGAAGTGCTGGAGCACCATGAGCCCACATACGAGACGCGTGAAACTCAGCCTCTGGCCAAAACCTAGCTACCCTAGCTCAGAGTCTTCGAGGCCTATAATCGGCTGATAAGCTTTAAACCCAGGCTGGGGGACGGTCGCCCACCTTGCTTTGCCGTCGCCAGCTGCAACTGCGTCTACGAGAACCGGAAGCGAGGTCGAACATGTTAGAGGTTATGTAGGGCGTCGGTAGGGTTTAGGACGGGGGGTAGGTTTTCGGGTTTAGGGCTCAGGTATTCAGTAGAGCTTGCATAGAGGTTGGCTTGGGAAGATTATTTGTTTTTTGGGGGAACCCGAAACCCGAAACCCGAAACCCTAAACCCTAAACCCTAAACCCTAAACCGACAGCCCTCCCTTGAGGTGCCTCGCGAGAAGACCTGTGGGCAGAGCTGAAGTCGCGTCTGGAGTCGGGGTTCCCCGTGGATTACATGCTCCATCTAGGCTCCTCCGGGGGCCATGCTGTTTGCACTTGGGGTTTATAGGGCTCATAAGGCGTAGGGTTTAGGGTTTAAGGTTGAGGGTTTAGGGTTCAGGGTTTAGGGTTTTTGCATTTGGGGTTTCTTAGGGTTCTACAGGGTGGGGTTTGTAGAGGTAAGCCGGTGGTTTGCGCAAGAAGCATCGGGACCCTGGCATCGTGATGGCATGAGTTTTGTGCATCCTGCGCTTTTCCGGCCCCTCTTTAAAATCGGCCGAAAGCACACACCCTGACGAAAAAGACACCGACAGGTTGGGATGTTTCCCCTTATACTAACAGTCCTTAATAGGGACTATATAGCAACCCCCCCCCCCCCCCCCCCATGATAATCCCTATACTAAGGAGCTGTTAGTAGTATAAGGGGGAACGTCCCAACCGAGAGGTGACAATGTTTACCTGGACAGCGACCTGCATCTCGTCGAGAAGGGCAAGAAGAGACTCGAGGCGCAGAGCTTGATGGAGGGATTTAGGGTTTAGGGTTTAGGGTTTAGGGTTTAGGGTTTAGGGTTTAGGCTTTAGAGACTTCAGGGTGAGGAGAGTTTAATATAAGGGGTCGGAAGAAGTACTAATAGTATTCCCTTATGGTCCCTATATCAATATACTACGATAGCGCCCAAAACCCTATTCTAATTGTTTTTGCCCCAACAGTAGGGTTTTCGCAGGGTGGGTGGGGTGCGAGCCAACGTTTTTTGTGCAAAGGGAAGTGCAGAAAGCACACGCAGTGGCGCGCAAACCGGCGCTCGAACATGCGCACAGCGTAGCTTAGGGTCAGCGTGCGCCAGAACGGCCTGTCATAGTTTGCCATGGGAGAGCCTGCATTGCCAAGCAATGTTATAGCCCCCAGATGATCTTTCAGGGATTAGGTTTAGGATTCCGGGGTCCGAGCTCACTTAAGAGGTCCAAAACGCACCCCCCCTCCCCCCCACCACTTTCTATGCGAGGACTGGGATGACTGCAAGTGGGGCGTGGCCCGGGACTGGCTGACAAAAATGGACGACCCCTCCAAGTGGTCAGAGCACGAGAAGGAGATCGAGGCTCCTTTGGTTGAAGGCATTAGGGTCTTTGAGGGTTTGAGGCTCCAGCTTTTGTTTGTTTGAGGCACTTTACGGTTTGTGAGTCCCGATGCCCCAAACAGCTGGGGCTCAAACCATCTGAGCTTCCAGAGGGGGGATGTTAGGAGTAAGAGCTTGGTGGGTGCTCAGCGTGGACCTCCTAAACACCCAATACACTATACCCTGTACCAGGATGGGCTATTGGGCCTTGTAATCCCCATAATCAACCCTAGAGAGGGGCCTTTTTAAGGGGTTATAGGGTCTAATAGCCCATCCTGGTAGCCCCAAACACTAGACCCTAAGCCCTACAAACCCTAAACCCTGAACCTTTTTGGGAAATTCCAAGCGATTGCGCTCTGGAGGAGCACTTCCGGAACGTGTACCGGGAGACGTGGGGCCATGCGCTCGGCCCTACGCACGGAGCTTCCTATTGGGGGCCAAAGGAACCCTGAAACGGTTTGGAGTCTAGGGTTTGTAGGGTTTCAGGGTTTTTGGGTTTTTAGGGTTTTAGGGTCCAGATGCCTTATGGTACATGAAATGAACCCCATTGTAGGGTTCGTTTGGCCCCCAAGCTCGTCGGTCCAAGACAGGGGCCTGGACTTCACACAGCCTTGACTCGAGAGCGTGGCGTCACCCAGAGGGTCCATTTGCATTACGATTATATGGTATTAGGTACCCAAAAACCACTCTAAATAGGGTTTTGGGGTACCTCATTCCATAATAGTACTACAAATGGACCCTCTGGGTCATGAGCCATGCGAGCTGGTGTGATGAGGTCACCGCCCCACGCGATGGGTCTTGGCCAATGTGCCGAACCTGATGATCCTTGATGATCACGACATCCGTGTCTTGAGCAGAACAGTACCAGGATGGGCTATTAGGCCCTATAATCCCCATAACCAACCCTATAAAGGGCCTTGTTAAAGGGGTTATAGGGTCTAATAGCCCATCCTGGTACGAGTATCGGGGAGCGACGCGCGAATGCCGCATGTGTGGGAAGTAGGCTAGCTGTGCAAGGGAGGCCCTCCTTTGCAAAGCAGGCTTCTGGTCCATGGGCCCATTGAACGCAGAAGGTACTTAGAAGGCGTGGCCAGTGCTCTTTAATGAAGCCTCATCAGCTGCAAGCTGTTGGCCCCTTACGTAGAACTGTATGACTTCCTGTCAGAAAGTAGCTTCATACCAAAAACAGAATACTAGATCGCTACGAGTCATTACTGCTATATCCTTAGGGTTCCTGTTGTTCTGGTACGAGAAACTACCCATGTAGCGTGAAAACTGGGCATGACCGGGCCTCTGCATGGGTTAGTAGGCTTTAGGGTTGAGGGTTCAGGGTTCAGGGTTCGTGGGGGGCGGGGGGGGGGGGGGCAGTGCAAGGTGATGACTGGGGAGACCGACCGGAGGACAAGGACGAAAAGTCCGTTGACAGGCCCGTGCCCAAAATCTGTACCCTGACCCCTAAACCCTGAACCTTAACCCTAAGCCCTAAGCCCCAAACCCTAAACCCTAAAGCCCGTAACAGAAACCTGTACACCATGAAGATCCCTGAAAGCAAGGGGCACGAACCTTACAAGTGCTTGTAATAAGTATTGTTTATGTTCTCCGTTTAGTTGAATCAGAATCACTTTAGGTAGATAAACCCTAAACCCTAAACCCTAAACCCTAAACCCTAAACCCTAAAACCCTAAAACCCTAAACCCTAAACCCTAAACCCTAAACCCAGATCCCACCTTACGTAGACAACCCTCCCCGCGGCCCCTGGGCCTCATCGCCCCGCCTAGATCGGGGTGTTGGGGTTTAGGGGTTTCTGGCTAGGGTTGCAGACCTTTCCTCCAAAATTCCATCAGTGTATCCTAGCACTGATCCTACATTCCACCCTTCAGAAAGTCCTTCAAACGAACCCTAAAGTAGTAAAGTTGCAGGTTTCTGGCTGATATCGCCTATCGTGTCTACAACTCCTACCAGCGACTGCTCTACGAGGATCCCGAGATGCAGCCGGATGGGAGGAGTTGCGCGCCGAAGTGCGACCATCACATGCGGCTGGTCTCATGTATCCCCGAGACTTAGACCCTGAGCCCTGTAGACCCTACACCCTGTGAGCCCTATACCCAAACACTAAATCCTAAACCCTAAACCTAGCCCTAAACCCTAAAAACTAAACCCTAAATCCTAAACCCTAAACCCTAAACCCTAAACCCTAAACCTCAAGCCAAAGCCTGGGCTCTTGTTGAGTCATGACGTTTGTAGCCGCCTTCTTATGCAGGCACGCCTTCGGAGACGTGGGCTTGCTTTTCGTGGACGTGCGGGGCTGCAAGACTTTTCACTGGAACCCGTCAGAGGCCCTGTGTTGTTTGCCAGAAGTCCAAAGGGAGCCCCGCAAAAGGGCTGCTCAACACATGAACCCTGAGATGGAAATCCTATACCCTCTTCTAAGGCCCTATGCTACAATCCCTAGGCACAGGGGTGTGCTCCCAAGGAACAGACTGAGAACGCTTGCGCCAGGACATCGCGGTCCCCATGCTTGGTCAGGCACAGTGGTCGGCCATCCAGCATGAGTTGGCAGAAGGTTCCGCTGGGCGAAACTGTTTCGATCTGATCTGAAAAGCAGACAAGCATCACAAGCACTAGCTGTGACCTGTGCTGGCGGTCCTGTGTCGTCAACACCAATAGCTGGAGTACGTAAATGTAAAATGCCCTTCAAAATGCGCCTGTACCCCGAATTCGCTGGGTACTTTGTTTTTGCTTATAGTAGGATATAGAGAGAGCTGCATGTGAGTGCCCAGGAAGCCCTTGGTGAGCCCAAACCCTTTACCCCCTAAAAAAATCCTGGCAGGTGGCCTACTCGCGGACTGCAAGGCGTGCGGAGCTCAACAGTGCTGTCCGCCCACCAGGATGGGCTATTAGGCCCTATAATCCCCATAATCAACCCTATAAAGGGCCTTGTTAAAGGGGTTATAGGGTCTAATAGCCCATCTTGGCAGACTCTGTGTAGGGCTTGCCGGGCTTTTAGGGTTTCTGGTGGGTGTTGTCGGCTTTCAACTCGGGCTTATAGGGGCTTCACGAGAGCCAACCTCATCCCTAAACCCCTGCAACGATCCTTAAACCCTATAAACCCTAAACCCTAAACCCTAAAACCTCAAAACCTGCTAGGATAAGGGGGGTTTTTATGAGGGAACTTGTCTTAACCCTCTTCTGGCTCTCTTAAACAGGACCTATTTCCCTCAAGGGTCCCCTTATCCTATCCGCTAACTTAGTAAACCCCACGGAAGATAGCCTTTCTGCCCCCAAGAATGCTCAGCCGGTAGGACCCTTAGAGCAAGGATTCTTGTCCTTGTACCGGAGCCCATCGGCTACGTAAGCCGAGCACCTGGAACTGCACATAGACCCTTCGAGTGTTTTAGGGTCTGGAGTTTAGGGTTCAGGTTTCGGCAGGGTTCAGGGCTCAGGGCTTAGGGTGAATGTGTCGAGTTTAAGGTTTCTGCTAAGGCAAGGGTCGAGGGCAGTCTAGGCTGGAGGGCCTCGGCGGGGGAAAGGTTATTTCGGAATCTGGGATCTAGCTGGTGGGGGTGACATGCTTTGCGTGCGCATGGCGTGCCTCTGCTGGCCACAAGTTCCAGCAAGTGCCGAGGCTTTCACCCATCTCATGGGCAACACGGTCTGTGATGACCTGCTAGGCCAGATGGTGATTCCCAACATGCCCTCATCCACGCTTGCTACAACGCACGCTCCGTCAACTCGGTTGCAGCTGTCGAGGCCAATGGTCTGCAGAAGCTCACAGGAAAGAGGTGCCCAAGTTCCTCCGAATGCTGAAGGCCGCGCGGTAGTCCCAGGTTAGGTGGTTCTATTGTCGAAGCAGAACCAAGCTGCTGGTGTGCATCCTCTCGCCCCATCAAGCGGCAGAAACGCCTAGGCCCTCAGCCCAAACCCCCCCAAGACTCTGAACCTTAAATCAGACCCATGAAGCTGCATGTTCCACAGTGGGCAGGGACGTCATGCTTGTCACAGCGCAACCCAAACCCTAAACCCTAAAACCCAAGTACGGCACTCTGCCAGTCGATGAAGTAGCACTGACTTGGGCCGAAGGTCTGCCGTACTCACATATCCCGACATACGATCGGGGTCGGAGAAAATCACGAGTAGTATTCGTTTAGGGTCCCCGTATAGTTAGACGATAAAATCCCCCGGAATAATTACTAGTACTATTCCTTTAGGGTCCCTATATAGTTATGGTATAGTATTCCGCCCCCCCCCCCCCCCCCCCCACGCAAACCCTGTTCTATTTTTTTAAGGCCCCTATAGTAGTACTTGCATAGGGCTTACCCCGAGTCTGCTGAAATCCCTTATTGTAGGGTACAACCCCCCGATTTGCGGAACCCCCGCTCAAATCAAGCTTTAAGTCCCACGGAGATCGGCCACTTAACATTTCATGGCTTGATCTAAGCAGGGTCCAGGATATCAGAAACTCCGAACTAGGTAGAAGCATAGCTACGTTACTTACAGCCCCGGGTACAACTGTATAGTTCCCCGTGAGCCTACAACTGCACTGCAACCCAAACCCTTAAGCCCTAAACCCTACTGATGCTTCTCATGCCAGCCTTCGAAGCAGCCCCGGACCTTCTAAACCCTAAACCCTAAACCCTAAACCCTAAACGCCTGCAGAGGCATGGCGGGACTCGGGAAGCTACAAGCAGGCCGGAGCGTGCGACTGAAGAGTTTAGGGTTTAGGGTTTAGGGTTTAAAGTTTAGGGTTTAGCGTTTAGGGTTCCAGGGCTTAGACAAATGTTTAGTTTTTTTTTTTTTTTTGGGGGGGGGGCTCTCCCAACATGGGCGTGCTGTTTATATGCTCCCCAAAAAAGTACCCCTGGTTTAGGGTTTGCTTGTCACCCTAAGGGTCCATGTACCTGATTAGAATATACTTGGGCCCCAAAGTCCCTATATAGGAAGTACTTTCAGGCCCAAGTATCCCTATTTAGGTACATGGACCCTAAACCCTGAACCCTAAACCCAAAACCCTAAACCCTAAGGGTCAGTTCTAAGGACTTAAACCCCAAAAGCACCAAATTCGACCCAGAGTTGGTCCTTGCTGGGCCCCTTTCATAGGGCCTGGCCCAACCCTTAGACAGTTGAACCCCACGACCTTCATAAGCCCGAGAAACCACCAGAAACGCCTTAAACCAAAATCCTTACACCCCCTCGAACTGAAAGTTCTCAAGACTCAAAACCTCAAAGCAAAACCCTTCAAACCCTTCAGTTAACCCCCCCCTCAACCCTCAACCCTCAACCCTCAACCCTCAACCCTCAACCCTCAACCCTCAACCCTCAACCCTCAACCCTCAACCCTCAACCCTCAACCCTCAACCCTCAACCCAACCCCAAGCCCGAGGCCGAGGCTGGGGCTTGATTTGGTTTTTGAGGCTGATAGGGCTCAGGGATTCTGGGATTCAAGGGACTAAAAGGGACCTTAGGGGTTATTTGGGGGCTATTTGGGGGCTACTTAGGTATATAGGTACTATATAAGGTATATATTAGGATTCCCTGGCAGGTTATGATGCTGGCTGGCGATGTGCATGAAGGCACCGTGAAGTGGTCCAGTCGGTCTTGAAGCATGGAATATCGGGGCCTGGTTAATTTGAATAGGGTTGGGGGGGGGAAATGAGAAACGGACCCTAAGGGAATACCGTCAGCAATTCTTCCGACCCCTATGGCCCGAACTTGGCCTCCTCCTGGCATTGCGAGGAATGTACCCCACCCCCCCCCCCCCGCCCCCCCTCAAGGGTTGTAAACCCTAGGTTGTTGACCAGCGCCTTCTGGCAGGTGGCTGGACGGACTTGCTTCTTCACAACGTTGAGGGACTCTCGGCTAAACCAGTACGCCGACCCACGGGCACAGTACTTGGTAGCCCAGTGGTACCCTTTACTCTTTTGTTTGGTTCTGGGTTCCCTTATAACAAGTAACCAACCCAAAAAAGGGTGCCCTTATCAGAATATGGTTACTGGGCGACCAAGAGTATTTGAGGAACTAGTTCTTGAGATTGTTTTTTTTTCTTTTTTGGGTGTTCTTAATAAAAAAGTAGTTCTGTGTCCAACTTGGATGTCGGTCTGAGGGGGCACAAGATTGAGGGGCACTCCTTAGAAGAGTTCCAGATTCCAGATGTCGCGTTTACGACACATCCAGAAAGTGTCTCTCTCATCCCCTTCCGAGGCGACAGGCGAATTCGCCAGCTGACGACGTCTCCCATCGCCAACAAGCAGACGAGACCTCATGAGGCTCTGGCAGTGTCTTTGCCGCAGGTAGCGTGCCCTATATCCCCCTTGGGAACTATTTTATGTTTATATGAAAGCTTAAGTCAACCTGGCAAAACCCAGGGCCTCGCTTGCACGCACTTGCCTCCCACCAGACGTGAGCTGCCGCATGAACTACTATCTTTATGTCTATGAATCCTGGTAATGTCTGAGAATGGTCTGATGATTTTTCTCTGTGGAGAATTTGTGTCCAGTGTGTGTTCCTGAAGACTGGGAAATCTGTAGGGAATCTGTGGCCTGTAGTTTTGTTGGTTTAGAATCTGTGGAAGGTCTGTGGAGAATCTGTGGACAAGCTGTGGAAAAGCTGTTGGATATTCTGTGGAGAATCTTCGTCCCCCCCATAGACAGGTGAGATTTTGGAGGGTCCAGGCTGGGGGGCCCCGGACACGGATTTTCCACAGGGTTTCCAACCCTAAGCCCCAAACCCTATACCCGAGTCAGGCCACAAAAAAATCAGAAATAAAGGCACATTGCATTTTCTGAAGTTCACACTTATATCTATATTGTTTGCAAGATAGTTTTTGTAGGAACCAAGACATGACCAAGCATTCGTACTCAGAATACTATTTGACTATTTGCTTAAGAACCTCCCCCCCCCAAAAAAAATAATAATAAAACAAACGTGTAATGATCCATATACTAAGTTAATATACTACATTACCTTTACAATGGGCGATGTTTCCTGGAGGGGAGTTCTTATATACAAATATAAACAAATAGTAGTGAATAGTCACTCGCACATATGACTTCCAAGGTATCGCTGACTCGCGGGGTGCTCTCGTCACTGGATGTCTCCGACTTTTGCTTCAGTTGGCTCATACTTGAAGGTTCGTGGGCAGGTATAGGTAGGGCTGTGAGACCACCCCTTAAACCGGTGACCACCATCTAAAACTCTAGCTTTTCCCATACTTGCAACGCAGCTAGAACTGCCCACGAGCCTCCCTAAACCCTAAACCCTAAACCCTAAACCCTAAACCCTAAGTTCCTGCAACCCTGACACCCATGCACCTCCAGGTTTCGGGTGCCACCTGGGCCTTATACTCAGGGATTCTTGAAAACATGTTGTTTAATTAATTGGGTACCGGGTACTGTAATTCCGAAGAAACAACAATTTTCTTCATCTTTGCTAGGGTTCCAAGTTCAGCATAGTATAGGGTTTAGGCTTCAGGGCCTCTCGGCAAGCTTTCCCCATGGCCATCGCCTGCCTCTCTTGATGTTCCTTCCCAGGCCTTACTCTTTGGCGCCTTTGAGCCCTTAGGGCACACCCTAAACCCTCAATCCTAAGCCCTAAACACCCTAAAAGCTAAGCCCCAAGCCCTCAACCCCAAGCCCCAAGCCCTAAGCCCTAAACCCTAAACCCCCTTTAGCTCCATGCAACAACCTACCAGTACCAACTTTACTGTTGAAGATCCTTGGCAATCCATGCGCTGGAGTGATCTCACGGAACGGAGTAGACCCCAAATCCCTCTCTTGTTGGTAGCCCCGTGGTACCCTTTTTTCCCTTTTTGGGGTTCAAGGTTCCCTTATAAAGATCACCAAGCCCAAATAGATTGCCCTTATGAAAATAGGGTTACTGGGCCAGCAAGCTCTCAAAAGTGGCTCTGGGTTCAAGATCTCCATTCATCCCTGGGCATTGGGCTTTCAAGTCTCGAGTTGGGGCTTCTTCAGGGTTTAGGGTTTAGGGTTCAGGGTTTAGGGTTTAGGGCTTGAGTTATACAGCTGCGCACTCCTGTACCCTAAACCCTAGCAAGGCGTGAACGCAATGTAGCTCTACTTCAACACGTGCGTGAGGAAACGGGGTCCGGTTGGGTCAGCCGCCACTATGACTGGACCAACTGCAACAACTACGCCTTGGTCACCGCCAGCGTGGCCACGGCTGGGATGCTGAAGGTCTCGCAGTTTAGGGTTTAGGGTTTAGGGTTTAGGGTTTAGGGTTTAGGGTTTAGGGTTTAGGGTTTAGGGTTTAGGGCTTCGGGGCTTCGGGGGCTTCGGGGGCTTCGGGGTCTTTTAGGGTTTCAGGGCTTTGGGTCTTCGAGAGGTTTCAGAAGGCTTTTCGTAAGAGTTGATTAAAGGCCTCTGGTCTCTTCCGGATCTCCTCTAGGTCCTAGGGGTTGCACAGGTTTCACCATGGATCTTCCTGGGTTTTTGGGATAGTGCAGGGTTTCTAGGGCAGATTCGAGGGCTTCAAAAGGGTTTCATGAGTAAGACTGTGCTAAGGGTTTACTTAGGGTTTAGGAAGGGTGTTGGGTTTGAGACAGGTTTCCTTCCCCTTCTTTAGCCGTTGAAGTCCTCAGAAGCCCCCCCCCCCCAGCCCCACTTTCTGCCCTCTTTTCACCCTTTAAATTCTTCAAGGAGGAGCCTGCCCATCTGCAGTGCATACGTGGGGTTTGGGGTTTAGGGTTTAGGGTTTATAGGGTTTAGGGTTTAGGGTTTACCATAGTCCCCATGACTCCGTTCGTTGGCGTGGAAGGAACCTACTCGGGGTAGAGCTAGGATTGTGGCCCTCAAGCAACCTGTGAAACCCTCAAAACCCGTGTGCCCTAAACCCTCAACCCAACGAACCTCCTACGACCCAAGCTCCTAGACCTCAAAACAAGAAACCAGAGCCCCCAAAAGACGCCTACGCTCCCCCAGTCCAAAGAGTCTTTGTTTACTAAGTTTAAAAGTGTTTTTTTTTTTTTTTTGTTTTTTTTTTTTTTTTTTCTGTGGGTTTTCGGTAGCCCTAAACCCTAAACCCTAAACCCTAAACCCTAAACCCTAAACCCTAAACCCTAAACCTCTGGAGCAGGTGCGAGTTCTCAAAGCTTGGGGCTTGAAGAACCAGGACTGATCATTAGAATGGGAGTCAACATGCCTACAAACCCTACACGCCCCTAAACCCTAAAACCCTAAACCCTACACCCTACACCCTACACCCTAAACCCTACACCCTAAACCCTAAACCCTAAACCCTAAACCCTAAACCCTAAACCCAAAGGCTGATTCAACATGGGGTTTTCCTTAAAGAGAAGGCGTGTGCGTGGGTGTGTCTGAGTACATGAGGAGTGCGCGGGTGTGTTTGGGAGTGTTTCGGAGTTGTTTAGTTCTTCAGGGTGTTCAGGGCAATAAATTGAGGGTGGGGTTTGGATGAGGGCTACCCTAGAGTTAGAGCTCGGATCAGTCGTGCCAGCAGGGAAGCCGCATCAAGGGGTACAACATAATAATAATAATAATAATAGTAATAATAATCATAGTAATAATAATAATAATAATAATAATAATAATAATAATAATAATAGAGCTGAGTGATGCAGGTCGATCAGCTCTTGCAGTGCCCGGGCTCAGGTCCTTCACCCTGGGCCCTAAACCAGAACAACCTCAAGGGCTTCCAAAAGGGTACCCGAATCCCTAGACTTGGGAAGCTACCCCTTATACTAGCAGTCCTTAGCCGGGATTCTAGTACTCCCCCAGTGTAGATCCCTATTAAGGAGTGATTGTATAAGGGACAACACCCCAACCCTAAACCTAAGCCCTGAGCCTTGTTGAAGCCGGCCCCTGGCTTAACAGGACATGATGTCCTGGATGGACTCCTATGTCAAGGTAACTCTGGGCTCACAAACTTTCCAGACGGCCGTGTTTTGCCGCTGGTTGGCATGCAAGCTACGATGTAGAGCCGTGTTTTGCCGCTTGTTGGCATGCAACCTACGATGTAGAGGAATCTGCGTCCCCATTGTGCTCTTTTCGACATGAACCATCCTCAAGATCTGTCCCAAAAAGACCTCACATATCAATTGAAAGTTAAGGTTAGCAACCCTAGACTTCATCCGCTTCAACCGCGGCAGCGCCCCTAATCCCTGATGTCTTGATCCTTAGCCTGAGGCTGCATCCGACAGCTTTGTTGCCTCAGCTTTCTTACGATTTGCTTAAGAAACCCCAGAAAATAAAAGATTAAAATAAGAATCCCTGTAATACCCGTTTAAAGTAAGATTGTTTTGTTTTTAATCTTTTTTTGCGGGGGGGGGGGGGGGGGGGGGGGGGGGGGGGGGGGGGTTCTTAAAGAAATAGTAGTTTCGTTCAGGAGTTATTGAGCTGTGCAAAGCATGCACTCCATGCAGCCCTGCGCCGCAACAGCAGGTTCAGGGCATCCCAAACCCTCCATATCTCTAAGCACCTAAACCCTAAGCCCTAAACCCCAAACCCCACAACCTTCAACCTGGATGCTGGAACATCAGCTTCGTCTTTCTCCCCAGGTGAGGATGGCGACCCAAGCAACCCGGAATGGAACTCTGAGGAGCCTTAGGGCCCTGAACCCTAAAACCCTAAACCCTAAACAGATTTTCTTGATTTTTGGGTACTATAGTTCCTTAGAAACAGCTAATACTGTGCTTTTTGCTAGGGGTTCCAAGCTCAGTGTAGGAGTTCCTGTTCACGGTGCAGCCCACGGACTACTACTGCAGACTGAGCCCTGGCTGGGTTTAGGGTTGAGGATTGAGGGTTGAGGGCTGAGGGTTGAGGGGGCGTTTGTGACTTTCAGAGGCTCAGGCGTTTTGGGGCTGCTTAGTTCGGGCTTTGCGCGGTTGGAAGCCGTGCCCCCTCCACGTCTGCGTCCATGTGCTGCAGTGTTCAAGGGACTAAAGGAGGGACCCTTACAAGGGACCTTCGGAGTTATTTAGGGGTTATATATTTGGGGGCTACTTAGGTATACCCCTTAACGTGTCGTCTCAGCACTGATTGGGTGACTGCATGAAGATGCTGGCTACAAACCTGGCCGCGCAAAGAACACTGAACTTGGCCAGGCAAGTCTGCGATGAGGACAGCTACATGGGCATCTCAGCAGGATCTAAGCATAGACTACCCTAAACCCTAAACCCTAAACCCTAGGCCCTAAACCCTAAACCCTAAACCCTAAACCCTAAACCCTAAACCCTAAACCCTAAACCTTAGAAAAGCTCTCCACCCACCTCAACCACAAACTCCCCTCACGCAACCTAAGCCCGAATTGGGGGTTTTAATAAGACCCCCTAATATAGACCCCGCAAATAATTAGTAGGATTCGCCTTATAAAAGGGGACCCCAAGAAGGTACCCCGAAGATCGTAAACCCCCTCATATTTCAAACCCAATCCCGAGTTCCTATTCATTGATGTGACATGCGCCCTGTAAAGAGTATCCAACATACCCTGCGAAAAAAGGGAAATGTACCTGAATTATTGGTATCGTGCCTTGGTAAAGGTATATAGGTCACTCGTGGTACGCACAAAGCCCTGAACCCAAAGCCCTAAAGTCCCACAAACCCCAAGAACCAGCACTAGAAGCATCTAGAAGCCCAGAATAAGGCCCCAACCCGTTCACGAAGTGATTGGGCTGCCACTATGGGCAATACCTCCTACTACGGAACCCTAAACCTTAAACCCTAAACCCTAAACCCTAAACCCTAAATCCTCTTTGCACCCCAGGCCAAGACCTGGGCTCCGTAAAGCTGGCGATCCACGAGCTGGATGCGTGCTCGCGGACCTTAGCAGATGCCTGGCCAAGGTTAGGATCCCCGAACTTTTTTTTTGCTGAGCCCTCCGTAGTGTTGAGTTTAGGGTTTAGGGTTTAGGGTTTAGGGTTTAGGGTTTAGGGTTTAGGGTTTAGGGTTTAGGGTTTAGGGTTGACCCCCTTGGGCTTGGAAATCTGGGTTTAGAGGGTTTGGGGTTTAGGGTTCAGGGTTGGCCTCAAATCCTAAACCCTCAGGTTTTGTTTAGGGCTTTAGTTGTTTTAAGGTTTCGGTTTCCAGTCTTATCTCCGAAGTTTACAGGGTTTAGGGAGTTGGGTGTGGGGTCTAGCAGCCTAGCAGCCAAGGTTGTGACAATCCCTGCACCCTGAACCCAAAATGCTGAAAGATCATCTCCCAATATAAAGGGTTCAGGGTCTAGGGTTTAGGTCTGTGCAAACTCCTTACTATACGAACCCCCCAAAGGCGCCCTCCTGACCATGTAAACCCCGTAATCCTGTACACCCTTTGAACCCGAAACCTTAAACCCTACAACCGAGCCCTTACATAAGTGTAACACCTATAAACCCTTTGCACCCTAAACCAACCCTAAACCCTAAACCCGAACCCCTGACCGCCCCCCCCCCCCCCCCCCTGTTTCCGGAAGCCCCGCCCCTTGCCCCGGCCCGTCTTGCCGGTCTTGCCGAGGTAAGCCTTGGCCCGAACAAGGGCGTCCTTGAGGCTGGTTTAGGGGTTTAGGGGTTTAGGGCTTACGGTTAAGGGCTTAGGGGTTTAGGGGTTTAGGGTTTAGGGCTTAGGGGTTTAGGGGTTTTGGAGGTTTAGGGTTCAGGGTTTATACCGGTACTGCAGGGGCCCTTTCAAACTAGGGTACGCCCCCCTAAACTCCCTACTCTAAAAACCCTGCAAAGCCTACAAAGTTCCCTTAGCGCCATAAAAACCCTGAACCCCGAAAAGTGGCCGTAAGTCACCGGGTGGTGGGGTTTTAGAGGATCATCCCTCAACCCTAAACCCTAAGCCCCAAGCCCTAAGCCCAAAGCCCAAAGCCCCCTAAACCCTAAACCCTAACCCTTTCTAGTACTTAGTAGCTGAGCGAGTACACTTTACACTTTTTGGGGATACCATAACCCCCTCTAGAACTGAAAGTGTACACTTGTTTGGGGGGGCTTATGAACTCAGCAACTAAGAGTAGTAATAGCGCCATCCCCTGAATTCTGAACCCTAAACCCTAAATCCTAAACCCTAAACCCTAAACCCTAAACCCTAAACCCTAAACCCTAAACCCCAAATCCTTTCTAGTAGTAATAGCGCCATCCTCATGCATGAAAGCAGCGGTCAGATCGAAGCTTCCTTCCACCGCGGCGCCCTCCGCGAGGCTGAGGGAGAGGGCTGCTCAGCTGCAGCTCTTCTTTTGGGTTGGGTTCAGAGTTGGGTGGCTTTCAAGCTTCCCACACGCCTACACTCCTTTTTGGGTTTGGGCTTCCCCCGCTAGCTAGGATCCTTGGGGGTCGGCTTCAGGGCTTTAGGGTTTAGGGTTTAGGGTTTCGTGGGCCTCCCAGCGAAGCATTCCTGCTACCCAGGTGCCGAGGGCGCGGAAGCGGAGGAGATCATTAATGGTCGGGGGTTGGGATGTTCCCCCTTTATACTAACAGTTTAACAGCTCCTAAATTGGGATTTTAATAAGGGGGGGGGGTACTTCACATCCCTAGCTGTTAGTATAAGGCGGAACATCCCAAGTTTAGGGTTGAGAGGGCTGCGGGCCGTCTGCCCGCTAAGTCAGTCAACGCCCGACGAGAACATAGATGGATCACTCTCTGATTGGGCCCTCTCTCTCTTTTTTTTTTTTTTTTTGGGGGGGGGGGGGGGGGGGGGGGGGGTACTACATACTACATGTAGTTGCTGCCTACTTGCAGCGCTTTGAGCTTAGGCCGTGCCGGGAGTAACCTGTGAACCTTTGCAAAAGGTTGATGCATAAGGAATTAGTGGTATCTTTTCGTCTTTATAGCATTTCTTACTCCTCATAATCCCTACCTAAACCCTAAAGCCCTCCAAAAGCCTCCAACTAAGCCCAAAACCCCAAACCTAGCCCTAAGGGTCCATGTACATGATCATTACATACTTGGGCCCCAAAGTCCCTATATAGGAAGTACTTTGAGGCCCAAGTATTCCTCGTTTAGGTACATGGACCCTAAACCCTAAACCCTAAACCCTAAACCCTAAACCCTAAACCCTAAACCCTAAACCCTAAACCCTAAACCCTAAACCCTAAACCCTAAACCCTAAACCCTAAACACTAAACCCTAACCCTGGAGGGTGGAACTTAGGGTAGGGCATGCCATGGGGATTTTGGGCTTAGAGCTAAGATGCTCTAGGACTGCCACTCTGGACCTCCTGCCGCCAACCTGGCTGAGCACAGGCAGAGGGTTTAGGGTTGAGGGTTTAGGGTTTAGGGAGGGAGGGAGGGAGGGAGAATGGCTAGCAGTGTTATTATTGCTGCAGCCGCCCGCACTCTTCCCCCCCCACATCTCGGGGCGGCTCCGCAGGCGTCATCGCCGCCCTCCGCGGAGAGTTCAAGAGGGGGTATAGTCATAGTGCAGACCAAGGCACGGGAAACGACTGAACCAATCAGGGCACGAGCACAGGACACCAAGAACCCACCGAGCCAACCCCCGTATCGAGCCGAGCCAAGAAGGGGGGGTTGCGGAACGCGCAGACAGGAGGGGGGAGGGGGGGGAGGGGAGAAGGGGGAGGGGGAGGGGAAGGGGGAGGGGAGGGGGGGAGGGGGGGAAGGAGGGGGGAAGGGAGGGCGGGGGAAGGGGAAGGAAAGGGAAGACAGAGGAACTGAATGCAAACGCTCTTTTTTAGGATCCTGCCAGCAGACGAAAGTTCTGGTCGGAGGACACTGCACGGCCTTCGGCTTGAAGGGCACGACAGGCACGGAGGAGGACTGTCCGTCGCCAGTCAGCTGCGGTAGCAGGGGCCCAGTCCTCCAGTGCACACAAGAGCTGGTCTAGTGAGGCCGAACCCACCAAGCCAAGGTGGCGGAGAAGCCAACGCCGGACACGCCGCAGGGGAAGACGGACAAGACCTGCAGAATCAGCGCCTGCCCCAGGCAAGCAGGCTTGCGCAGATGCATACATGTGTTGCGACAAAGCGGACCCTGCTGGAAGGGGAGGCTGTTGCGCCGGGAGCGCCTGGACAGCGTCGCACAGTGAGCAGAGGCAGTCTGGACACAGTTGCAACAGGTCCGCACCATTGGCCAGGCACGCCGGGTGCGCACCGTGGTTCCACCGACACTCGCCACGGAAATGGATCCGCGTATGGCAAGAGGGGCACACAATGCCCGTGGCCTTACGGCACCATGGGCAAGGCTTGGGCAGGGCAGGGGCAGGGGGCAGAATCAAACCTCTACACTCCCAACACAGACCCATTAGAAGGACTTGTGGCACACGTGGGCAGGAGCAACGGTGGGCCAAAGCCGAAGTGACAGAACCCCACGCTGGGAGCGCTGGACCCCAGCTGGGCTGGCCATCAACCAGGAGAGGCACGCCAGCACGGTGCAAGGCTCCCACTAAGGTGGAGTTGTGGCTGCGACCACAAGCAAAGGCAGCACGGAGACGCAAAAGGGCCGCCGATTGTGGTAGGAGAGCCCAGCGTAGCTCACGGGCGAAGGGCAAGGCCTCATCGGAGGAGAGCCACACAGTGACGGGTTCGGGGGGCTGCGCAGACGGGCATCAGGCACAGTTGGAGGCGGGGGGAGTGAGGCCAAGGCCAGCCGGGTCCACACATCTACACGCTGCAAGTATTCAGCCCGGATGAACCGGAGTCCCAGGGCTAAACGCTGGCTGAGCAATATGGCCGGTAAAACCCGCTTGCGGTGGGCGGACAAGCGGGAGAGCTCTGACTGGAGTTGCGCATGTTGCCGAAGAGTCGAGTAGGATTCCATGTCTTGTTCCTCCAAGTCCGCCAGCTCCTGGGAAGATAGTTTGCAAATGGCCTGGCCGAGAGAACGCGGTAGGGTGCAACGGTAGGCTAAGTCAGAACCAACTTCCCGGGCGGCAGAGGCTGCACTGCTCCCATTAACATCCGCCGACAGGACCGCTTCCCTGGCTGGGATGGACACGAGCCAGCGCCAGCCAGAAAGGATGGGCCACCGCTGTAAGGCGGGGGAGGAGGAGGTGCACCCCAGTCACTCCAGGCATCAGCCGCGGCCAGCAGTTGGGGAGGTGGAACGACATTCGCGAGCTCAGCTTCAATTGCGTCCCGGAGACGGTCTACCAGGGGGGCCATGGCCGGACAGGACATAACCACATGCCGCGGTGTACCTGGCGCAGTGGCACAAAGTGGACAGAGCCTGGGAGTGGGCAGAGTACGTAGGGCACACCAGGAATCTGCCAGGACTTGAAGGTTCGTGGAATGGAGCCGCTCAGTCCAAGAACCCCCTATGGCCCGATGAAGCCGGTAGACCATCGCAGACAGGTCCAGAGGGAGCGAGTCCGATGGGAGACACCAAGCAACCCAAGGGCTGGGGAAGGAGCACAGCAAGAACAGAGAGGGGTCAAGGGGCGGGCAGAAAACATGCTTCGCCACACGGGGCAGGAGCCCCTGAACTGCGCGTTGGCTCCACGCGGCCGTGCTCTGCCTGCGGAGTAGGGAGCGCACATGCGCACGGATGGGACCAGTGACCATGCGTGAGTCAACCGAGTACCAGGCCAGCGGGCCCCCACTGGGAAGGAATACATCCGCGGGAGGAGGCAAGCGGCGCCCTGCCGAACACCCAGCGTCCTGAGCCTCATTTCCGGACACCAAAACAGGAAAAGGGAGGCATGAAGAGGACTGGTGACTACGAATGTCGACCCCAACAACCCCCGAGTGGAGGAAGGCTAGTTTTGAGAACGAGCGCTGCTTGTCGCGAAGGGGAAGAGTGACATCCCACATAGAGGGGAACTGCTCTTGGTGTAGACGCCACGAAGGTTTGGGGGAGGCAGGGGACCATGCCTTCTCAAGCTCGAGGAGGATGTGGCGGAGTTGAGTGACAAGGGTGAGGCAGGAGGAGGATAGAATATGGGCCGGCATCGACTTGACTGCAGCACGTAACGTGGAGAAAAGCGCACTCCGGTCAAAAACTAACAAGCGCCATTGCGAGGGCCGACGGAACTTGAGAGAGCAGACGAGGGAGAACAGTTCTGCTGTGTGAACAGTACACTCCTCCCAGCCCCAACGCGCAGGAAGGCGACCCGACAGAAGCGACGAGGCCCAAGCAGCAGAACGCCAATACTCGTCGCCGGATCCAAACCCTCGTGACTGGCAGCAGAAAGTAGCACACCGGGGAGGCACGAATCCCCCGTCCCCAAAGAGGGCACTCTCTTCAGAACCACGGGGGGGGGGCAGGCGCTGGAGCAAGTGACGGGACCGCAGATCGCAGGATGCTTGCCAGGGGTCTTCCCACGCGCACGGGGCCCATTCCTCCGAGATCTCAGCATTCTCGGCGTGGAATAGGGCGCACTCAGTGCGCCAGTCCGAAAGCGCGCGAGACAGAGCGGAAGAAGCTGCACGTGCACAGGCAGCCGGGGCGACAGGTGCATGCTCAGGGAGCACACGAGCCCAGGTTGCAGGGTCTGACCAGGAAGCCCGGGACACCCCTTCAGACAACAGGTTACACCACGCCCTGCGGACAGAGTTCGCCACAACACCCACACGGGAGAAGCGCGCCGATGCATCAAACACAGCTGCACGGTAAGGGCCAACAAGTGGATGGTGGGACGCCGGAGCCAGGTAGTCCAGCATGCGGCAAACAAAACGATCCGTGGAGAGGCTCAGGAACAGACCATAGCCCGCAAGAAAGCGCATGTCATCCAGCTCTGACGGGTCGCAGAGACAAGCCTGACGCAGGGCATCGCGTGACAGTAGGGACGCCTGGGAGGAGCCGTTTAGTAAGCAGCAGAGATCTGCGGCTGACACCATGAGCTCCGTGGTTAAGGGCATGTCCAGGCCTCCCAGGGAGCGAGGGGCTGACAGGCTCACATGTTCCGCAGTGACACGGGTGCCAAGGCCGGAGTGCAGAAGGCGGTGTAGCGCTGCATCCTCACGGTGTAAGGAAGCAGGGTCGGGAAGACCCACCAAGGGTGTGTAGTTTAGGGAACCACCTAGGACCCACTGGAGCAAAGCCCGGCACTCGTCCCAGGAGCAGCACTTGCTGGACAGGCGGCGACGAGCTGCCTCAAGCTTGGCAAGGAGGTCCAACGCAGCTAAGGAGTGGCGGTCCCGGGCGGTGCCACGTTTGCCAAGAAGCTTGTCAATGCTGTCCTCCGCTGACCGTGGCAGGGTGAACTCCTTGACGCCGCCCGACCAGATGTCCCAGCTCGTGACCAGGGCTCCATCAGTGCGGAGGCGAGGGTCGCGCAGGTGCGGGAGCTCAGCCTCCCAATCCGAGGCAAACGCGGAGAATTTGGACCAAGCATACCCCACCCCGGTAGCACGGCTGCCTAGGGAGAGGGAATCCAGGAGAGGCGGAAGGTCACCGAGACCGCGGCCATAGTGTTCGATGTCGTCCACGTAGCCAGCCGCTTTGACGTGACGGCCCTGACTGGTCAGGTACGCTGCATTGTCCAGCGATCTTAGGCGCAGGATGGGATCCTGCGCCGCCTTTGATAGTTCCGGGGACGAGACGGCACCCTGGGGAAGACCACGGGTAACTGGTACCGGGCTGGACAGGCCGACCCGGGTGTCTAAACAGACCCGTGCATCTGAGAACAAGGCCTGGTGAAGACGCCTGACCGCGTCAGCTTGCTGGTGTTGAGTGGTTGCTCCGGTTGCTCGGGTGGTTTTTTGGGGGATAGGTTGCTTGATTTAGACGTTTTTGATATTGATTTAGACGTTTCGATTTTGAAAAAATCATACATATCAGGCGGGGAGTTTTGGGTGGACAGGTTGTTGATTTAGATTTTGCATTATTTGTTAATCCATGTTTTTGTTTTAACAAATCGTTGTCCATTTTTTTGTTTAAAAAATTGTTTTCTTCGTTAAATGAATAATACATAAACACAACAACAAAACCAGGGTTTAACAACATTAAGTTGCGAGAAATGTCATGGTAATAGATCTGCAGTGCCTACCGATGACATGCATGTCATGTGCTCCAGCAGTGTCCGCAGGCATTTTTGTTCCAACTGTGCTGAGGGGCCGAAGGGGGGGGGGGGGGCAGGGCGGCCACAAAATACGGCCTTTTGTTCTGCTTTGAGTGCAGTTGTTGGAACATACATGCTGCAGTGATTTCTGGCAATGAACATGCACACACCCAGCTTGTTTAACCGGCAGGTGCCCTAACCCTAAACCCTTAACACTGAAACCCCAAACCCTAAACCCTAAACCTAAAGCCCTAAACCCTAAACCCTAACCTTAAACCTAAAACCCTAA